GACTAAGTAGATTCTGTACATGCAAAATATAATGTTTATGAATCTTTCAGTGTATAGAGTCTAATTAGCAAAGGTTGTCTTTAATTCAGAGTAGTCTTTGATTCCGGTAAATATGATTCATAGATTCATAGATGTTAGGGTCGGAAGGGACCTCAATAGATCATTGAGTCCGACCCCCTGCATAGGCAGGGAAGAGGGCTGGGTCTAGATGACCCCAGCTAGATGCTTATCTAACCTCTTGAAGACCCCCAGGGTAGGGGAGAGCACCACCTCCCTTGGGAGCCCGTTCCAGACCCTGGCCACTCTAACTGTGAAGAAGTGCTTCCTAATGTCCAATCTAAATCTGCTCTCTGCTAGCTTGTGGCCATTATTTCTTGTAACCCCCGGGGGCGCCTTGGTGAATAAATCCTCACTAATTCCCTTCTGTGCCCCCGTGATGAACTTATAGGCAGCCACAAGGTTGCCTCTCAACCTTCTCTTGCGGAGGCTGAAAAGGTCCAGGTTCTCTAGTCTCTCCTCGTAGGGCTTGGTCTGCAAGGTATCTGGTATCTGTCTAGTCCAGGGGTGGGCAAAATGGCCAATCTGGCTGGCAGCCAGACTCCATTTCCCGGCAGCCCCTGCCTTCATGGCTTGGGCCAGTCTCCATGGAGATGCCAGTCACACCTGCAGGAAAGCAGAGGCAGGGGTTGCCATGGAGACCAGCCATAACTGCACTGGCAGCACAGCACAGGGGGCTGCTTTGGAGCCACTGGGAATTTATGATGGGGCAGCTCACTCTGGAGACAGGGCAGAGCCGCTGTCTGTAGCCTGCACGCTCTGGGCAGGGACGCACAAGCAGGGGATCACATCTCTGCCCCAGCTGCTTGCAGTGGTGACAGCCTGGTTTGGAGCTGAGGCAAAGCTGCGATCACTGGCTTGCGCTCCCCTGTCCAAAGTGTGCAGGCTACAGATCACAGCTCTGTCCTGGCTCCGGAGCAAGCTGCCCCCATTGCAAGTTACCAGCAGCTCCCTGCACTGCTCAGCCGAGTGGGCAGCGTATGAGGCAGCAGCTGGTTTTCATGGCAGCCCCAGCTTGAGCTTTCCTATGTAGGTGTGGCTGGGGTCTCCATGGAGACCAGCCCAAGCAATGCGGGCAGGGGCCTCTGGGAAATAGAGTCCATGGTTGACTGGATCTGGCCCGCAGGCCAGACTTTGCCCATCCCTCCTCTACTCACTTGAAATTCATATTCCCATATCTCATTGTAACTCAGGGGAAATAAAGCTTCACTTGCTAAGCACCAAGAACATTATCTTGTGTTATACAGAAAGTGTTCTTTTTAGATCCTTTATAGACATTTGTGGTATTTTTGCTGGCAGACTCTTGGGACAGTCTATCAATTTATAAGTTTCGTAAGCACATTTCTACTTGAATAGGGACTTAGCAGTTAGTTTATCCCTCTGGTCCTTTACTGCATGTTCCATTAGGGATCAGGTGTTGTCTCATTGTTGGGCATCGCCTTTGCCTCAGAATGAATGAGGACTTGGGGAGTGTTCTTTGTTTTAGTTTTGTGCATTCTTTCTGCATAACAACTAAGATAGGGTCTTTCTATCTATCCAGCTTAGCCAGATCTTTCATCCACGCTCTCAGCATCTCTCGTACCATGTTTTTCTCTTGTCTTGAAAAATGCTGTCATACCTGATTTATGTCTATTCAGAATGCTGCTGTAAAAATCACTTAGATCATGTCAGCCCCCTTTGCGTTCTTCTGCTGGCTACCTCTTCTGATGTCACACTTAAGCATCTTGGCTGCTTGCAGATGTTAAATACGAAACAAAAAAAGTGCTTTACTAGAAGAAGCAGTGCATTACTTTGACCCAGTTCTGCAGTATCTGTATAGATTGGGCATTTCAGTGGGGCTTTTTGGTGCTTTTATCTAAAGCTGATTCAGTCAGCTATTAGGTAAAAGCACCAGAAAAGCTACACTAAAGTTCCTGATCTATACAGATGTCGGACTTGCCAGGACCAACAACTGTGCTATCTTTTTTGGGTGTGTGCTGGGCCATTTTTTTTTGTTTTTCTTTAACATCTGCAAGCAGCGCTTGTCTTCACTTTCAAGGTCCTTCATGCCCTCCTTGAATATAGAGGAAAAGCATCATAGGTTGGTTTGATGGTTGAATCTAAGTCTTTATCAGTTTCATTATGTTTTTTGAGCAGAAGCTTCTCATGCTTCTCTGTCTTGTCACCCTCTTATAACTATATTGTGATATGTGCAAGAAGGAAATAATATATGTCACCAATTAGGTTCTCAGCCTTAATCAGTTGATTTTAGGCTTCTGATGCACTTTGACTATAGCCCAGGGGTGAGCAAAATATGGCCTGTGAACCACATCTGACCTGCCAAGTGATTTTATCCAGCCTGTGACTGCTCCTGTAAAGGAGAATTGTATCCGGCCCATGCTTGTCCTGGCTTTCGGTGCCTCTCGCCCTTCTCACTTTCCGTAGCTTGCTACAGCAGCCACTCATTCTGCCCGCCCTGTCCTGCCCCACAGCCCCCAATGTTTGCTCCAAGATGGGCACTGAGCTTTTGGCCAGGCTTCTGCCTAGCGAGGCTGTCTGTGCGCAGCTCTGACTTTGCAGCTGTTCACAGACCAAACAGCTCAGCCCCCTGAAAGTTAAAGCTCAGGTAAGTTTCTCCCCACCGGTGGGGGGAAGAGGGCCAGGAGCCGTAGGTTATCCAGGCGCTGCCAGGCTGGGGTCTGGTAGGTGCATGGGCACCGCTAGCGTAGTGCTGCACTGTGTTCCTGCATGCCATTTAAGGTGCAGCTGGCGCAACTCCTGCCCAACCCTGAGTCCTCAGCACACAGTGGGGTTGGGCAGGAGCTGCGCCAGCTGCACCCATGTGGCACAAAGTGATACACAGGAACACAGCATGGCCTGGCCTGGCTACATGCTGGGGACTCAGGGGTGCAGGGAGAAGGGGGAAAAACAGCGTGGTACCAGCCTGGCCGGGCCTGGATAACCTGTGGCTTCCAGCCGTCTTCCTTCTGCACCCCCTCCTGGAGTCCCTGATGCACAGCTGGGCTGGGCCAGTGTCACATTTGTGTTCCTGCATGCCACGTTGGCCCATGTGGGTGCAACTGGTACAGCTCTTGCCCGACCTGGTTGTGTGCTGGGGACTTGAGGTGGGAGAAGGGGGCTAGGAGCTGTGAGTTATCTGAGCCTAGATGGGCTGGTACCATGCTGTGTTTTTTCCCTTTCTTTTCCCTGCACCTTGTCCCAAGTCCCTGGCATGCTCCCTGGTCAGGTCAGGCGGAACTGCTCCAGCTACACCCACATGGCTCAAAGTGGCTCACAACACTCCAGCACCAACTTGACTGCCTGCCAGGAACTTGGGACTGGGGAAGGGGTGCAAGGAGAAGGGAACAAGGGTTAGGTTCCCCTAACGCAAGGGTGGGCAATTATTTGGGCTGGAGGGCCAGCTTTGTGCTGTGTGCCAGGCTTTGTGCTGTGTGTCCTGGACTGTTGCTCACCTAGCCAATTTCATGGTCTAAATAATAAGTAGAGGTGTTCTGTAGAACTCTCTCCATACATTTCCTATTTGTTAATCTCTAGGCTACGGACAGAAGATGCACATAAACCAGTTTAGGTGATCAAAACTGATTTAAAACTGTAACAGAATATAAATTTAGTGCACATAAACCAGTTTCAAAATGGCCAAAACTGGTTTAAGATAAACCTGGTTGAATATAGTATCAGATTTAACCGATTTGCATCAACTGGTTTATGCAACTTCTGTCCCAGACTCCCTCCTACTTTAAGTTAAACCAGAGTCCCCCAGCATCCCAGATGCTTTGCAGCCCTGAGCAGGGCTATGCTTTCTGCTCCAGAAACCAGGGCTGGCCCATCCCCTCTGCTCTCTAGCTTGAGCAGGGGCAGGGGCTTGGCCAGACACATGGTCCTCTGAGGTAGTGAGCAGGGAGGGGGTTTATTTCCACCCCCTCCCCCACCACACCGGGGGACTGTGGCCCCTGTCAGCTATTTTCGCTCTCCCCACTTCAGTGGCAGGGGAGGGAGCATGGCTAGAGCTGGCTGGCATGGCCCCTGCCATCTACCTGCCTTGCCAGTGGCTGGAGCTGCAGGGCTGAGCTGAACCAGCATGAAAGTGCTGTTAAGAGCAGAGAAAGAGGGGACAGCCCAGGCTGGGCCAGGCCCTTCCCAGTGGGCTGCTTCAGCCCACCTCAGGTTGAAGCTGCTGGGCTGAAGGAAGCTCCCCCCTGCTCCGAGTGGCGCTGCACAGTGCAACAGGAGCAGGAGCTAATTAGACTAACCTGCAGAGATTGAATCAATTCAGGCTCCAGCTTTTTGAATGTCTGCCCTAGCCCTTATGTCCTGCTGTTGTTCCATTAGCTCTCCTTTTAACCACCTACAAGCTATTGTGTAACTGCTGCGCAGCCACAGAGAGTGGATTATATGTAGATAAACATCTTGGGGAACCAGTTACTTTGCTTAACCAAGCAGTATATTCACTGTTGATTTAGGCTGTTGTCATAATCTGAAATAAACTATATAAACCAAATTTATTATAAACTAAATTGAAAATACTAAAGTTGAATGTTTTCCCAATAAAGATTTTTTGTAACTGAAAATATTTGCTAGTCCAAGAGTAGTTTTATTAACCATCATATTTGTATTAATTTTGATTGTATTGTTCTTACTACACAGAATTTAATCTAATCAATAGCAAGTAATCCAACAAAACTGGATGCCTAAACTATATACCTAAAATCTGTGTTAGCACAGTTAAATATTGAGTTACTTTTATTATACAGTTAATATGCACTTATACTTGTGTACAATACACGTATACATATACTTGTATATTAATAGACTTTCATTATGTAGTTACTTTTATCATGATTGTGATTTTTAAGGTAAAATTTAGACAATCAACTTGGAATATTCAGCGTCTTGTGACATTAGTGTAATTATTTTTGGTCACCTTGTCTTCCCATCCTCCCTAGGATTGAACCAAGTTCTCAGTCAACAAGCAAACCAGGAAGTAAGTCCTTTGGACAGCATGATACAGAGGCTTCAGCAAGAACAAGATCAAAGACGTTCTGGGGAGGCAGGAACTAGCAATATCAGTCGGTTAAGCAGAGGTAGACTTTGCTTTGCTATATAAACATATATGTGAAACGGCAAATTAATGGATACATCTGAATTACATGTATTACTGTTTGGGGTGGGGAGAGCGGCATAATATTCCACTTTCCAGTCATTCTGTTGATCATTGTGGATCACTTTTAGGATGGATTTGTTTAATGGATTCATTTGATCATTGTGGATCACTTTTAGGATGGATTTGTTTAATGGATTCATTTCACTAATGCTGAAATGAAGTTAGAGTGTAATATTACAATACACATATAGCAAAACTTGAGGAATTTTGCAGTACTCTATAGTGTTTAGATGAGAACATTTATTGTATTAATGTTAGCTAATCCAGATATGGTTAGTTGCTGGACAAAAATGCTGTAGCTTCTACACTACAGAGAGAAAAAAAAGAGAAAAAGTGTAGGAGCATTAGCAAGGTCCACTACAGTTTACTTGCTGTAAGTACCCTTGTAATCTGCAGAACTATAAAAACCTTGATTAAAATTAGAAGGCAAATGTGAAGGAGCAAGAATTGCGAAATTGAAGGATATGGGGATTGAAATTTTATTAAGAATTTGAGGGATGTCCCTTTGGGTTTTTTTTGTTTGCTTGCCTTGTTCTGTTCTTCATTAAATCACTTATGCTTGCAAACTGGAAATCCAATAGATAGGGCTCACCCGTCACCAAATACGTTACAGTGGATCATTTTTTGTTTGCTTGGGGGTTTGTTTTTTGGGGGTTTTTTTTTTAAGGGTAGTATTCTTTTGCACTTCCTAAGGAACAGCTGAATTCAGGGAGGGAAAGCTAGCGCACATGCCAAAACAGCTTTAGAACCAAAATCCGTTAGCAAGCACTTTCCTAATTTCTATGTGATGTTAAGATACTTCCCTTACTTTGCAGGTGAGTAGTTTTGAAGAGTAGTACAGTGGTGGAACATGTTTTGCCTAGATTCTTTCAGTCAAAAATAGTTGATCATCAGCTTATATTTTTGAGCTTTTTTTTTTAAATTGCTCTGCTTCTTGCTTACTGATTCTATAATCCTGTGTTGGAATGAGAAATTTTCCTCTTGCAATTATTGCTATACATAAATCCAGTTAATACTTTAATTTAATTCATCTTTTACTTCAGAAAAATGTAGTTTGTAATTCTATTTTTGATTTTTGATTCTGAGAATTTTTCCTTAGAATCCAGATTAAGTACTCCTGTATTAATTTTGCAGGCTCTGTAAGTACTACCTCAGAAGTACATTCACCACCAAATATAGGTTTAAGGCGTAGTGGACAAATTGAAGGTGTGCGACAGATGCATAGCAATGCACCAAGAAGTGAAATAGCCACCGAGCGGGACCTTGTGGCTTGGAGTCGAAGGGTTGTGGTACCTGAATTGTCATCAGGGGTAGCCAGGTAAGGCTGTCTCTTCTGAAAGTTATTAATTAGATTAAATTTGGATTTTGGTCTAGGTGGCATGTGACCATGCAGTTACTTCGTTTTGGTATGTATATTCCTTGATGGGTTTTTAATTTTTGGAAGAGGGGGGATGATATCATGAGGAAGAAATTAACTTCTAGGAGAGATTGAATAAGAAAACAATAGTTTGGCACATGGTGTGGGGGGAGGTTGTGGGGCTAACTTTTCATACTATGCAACAGGGACATATTTGCCTAAAATTAGTTCTAGTGTCCTAGCTGTAAGTAGTAACCCAATATTGTTCAACTGCCATTTGCTGACAACACCCTGTTTTTACATTTTAACTCCTTTTGGCAAAGATAGTACACCAGCCCAGGGCAACATTTCTGAAAGTAATCTAGATGTAATCTTAGTGGTAAATTCTTGTGAGGCAGGGTAGATTTGCACCTTTATAGACTAATTTAGAGATGCATAGCATATGCTTTCCTAAACAACGACTTCCTTCATCAGACTGTGAAGGTGTTGCAAGTCTAGCAACAATGTTGCTTGCAATCTCCTCATTTTAATTTTTTTGCCTCAGAAAATAACCTAATTTCAGAATACGTTTATCCCTCAGTATTCTACCACGGCCATGGAATTCATTCTTGAGATAATTAGTAATGCCTCTCCGTTGTTGCTTCTGGCGTTGCTTTGCTTCTGGTCCAGTGGTTGCTTGAAGCCCTCGTCTTAGTGGCCCTTTTGACTCTGTGCCCTGCATTCAAAGAGCAGTTCCAGAGAGAGGTCCTACTGGCTGAGACCTGATTATTTGTCTTGGCCCCTGCTCAATTTTCAGGTCTCATATTCGCAGAGCAGGAGAACTTTACAAAGCGGAGGAGCTTCTTGACCCCAACGTGGTGTTCCACTTCTGATGAAGTACTTGTACCCCCAGATAGTGGACTTCAGTAGAGGACATTGGTGAGCCTTTCTTTGCCTTGTGGCAAAATATCTTCAAGACAGTCTGCACATAGCCAGCTCATCCTCTATGTCACTGGGGATTATATGACAAACGCAAGTTACTTCTTCCCAGTTACTTGGGAAATAGGTAAATAATATCAGGCCCTTTTGTGGGGACCAGAATTTTTATGTTACCACCTTGTGCCATGTTTTTTATTCTTAACAGGCAGGGGAAGGTAAAACGAGCTTTATGATAAGGAAGGATAAGGAATCAAAGAGTAAGCTTGCTAGGAAGGAAGTCTTGTTCATGTGCCATTTGTCAATTCTGGGTAGCCAACTACTATGTACTGTTGATCTGCTATAACTTTGGACTTCATGAATATCTAGCATACTTTGTTGATTTGTCTCCAGACTTTTAGAAGACCTTTATTTCACTTCTTATGAAGGGACAGTTCATGGCCAAAATCTCCATATGAGATAGCCTTGATGCAGCTGATACCACACCTTCATCAGTGGCCATAGTGGTGATCATGAGAAAGTCTTCTTCCCTTCTGGGCTCTTTTTTCTAAAGAACTGATTAACAGGGTGGAGAACATTCCCTTTTTTGTATCAGAAGTATTTAACTCCAAGGTAAATGAGGCTCTATACATCGCCAAGGACACCAGATACTTTCCTTTCTTTGGGGGCAAAGGAGAGAGGACCAATTCATTTGGCCCTCCGGGACAGATCCAAATCTGGAAGCATGTGGGACCTCATGCGTGCTAGATGACCCAACTCCAGTGTTATACTGGCTTGCCACTGCTTGCTGCCTATTTTTTCCTACAGCCAATGATGACCAAAGTTCCCAAATTTGGTGATGGGCAAAGGCCTGGGGGTAAGCAGCAGTGACATTTACCTTCTGGGTTTCAAAGCTACACCAGTGTAGTGGCTACAGTAGCAGCATCAACAAGCCCTACAGGCCAGAATTAAATCATTCACAGGCTGTCAGTTGGATAGCCCTGCTTTAGGGTATTTACGCACTGCCAAGAAGTACAGATACCAGCCTTATAGTCAGAGATGTTGATACTGGTTTTATGACCCAGATATCTTGTTCTGTGAGGACCAAACCCTCAGACTGATAACGACCTCTCGATCTGATAATAGGCTAATTCTTCTATGATAGCAGATAAGAATAATTCAAACAATTTGATATCTACCAGTCCGAAAGCTGTCATCAGAGGTGTGCGGGCCGGGAGCGGTCCGAGGCTTTCGGGGGCGCGCGGCGGGCTGTGGCCAGCAGCCCTGGCACGTGGGTCGGGGAATTCGGCACGACGGACTAGAATTAGGCACGGAAGCGTAGTGGTTGATTTAAAGATTATTTTACTTACACTGTAGATGGTCGCGGTGCAGGCAGGAAAAACTTCGCTTAAGTTGCAGTTACAAATGAAAAGAAAACTCGCTCGAACAAGACCCATAGAAAACTCGAGCCTCTTAAACCTGGAAAGAGCTCTGGATACACACACACACGAAGCTTGCTAGGCTCCGTGGACCGAGCGCGCAGGGAAGGTGAGTACCTTGGGGTGAAGATTGTCAGGGCCGGCTGACTTGGAGGTATCCAGCTTCTCAAGATGTTCCTTCACAAAGTCAGCATTAATGGAGGGCAGGGCGTGGGAATAATTTAGAAACAGCCAGTAGTGGGACACAAATTTGCATGCGAATGGCGGGAACTCCTTTGCACTGGGGTTTTCTCTTTGCAACTGAGAATTGCACCGTGCAAAGAAAGCTCCTCGTGGCGGGAAATAATTCTGCGGTGCCGAAGCACGCACAAAATCATACCCTTGGGTCATGACAAGAGGAAGGGTACATCCGGCCAGTACGCACGCTTCACCCTTAAGTTCTCTCTTGAATGTCAGCAGCCTGGAGGTCTGAGCCCCAGGCTGCCCCCCACCCTCCTCCACACTCCCAGTGGAGTGGGTGAGATGGGCTGGTAGTATGCTCTCTGTCCATGGTGGCCTTGGGTTCCCATCTTGGGGACCCTTTGCTGTTCTGAAATCCCTTCTTTTGTATTCTTTTTCCTTTCATGGCTCTTCATTTCTGGCCATCACTGATTGGTCTGTCAGTGATCATGATATTGTCCACGTTTTGTCCCGTCAGCATAATCCTTTGTTTCACAAACCTATCGCATGCAAACATCCTAATTTGGGCTTTACCAGTCTTCTCCTAATTTGGTCTGTTCCCCAAAACTGGAAAGGCCAAGGCCCAAGATGAGCACTGTGACCTAGTGCCACCTTATGTTATGGGACAGTGTGGTACACATCTTTAATTCCCCAGCCTGTGTGTCTGCTTGCTGCTTGCCTGTATCAGATACAGTAGGCCTTGAAGAAACTTTGTCACAGACAGGCTTTTTAGAAATCAGTTAACCCTTACTGTTGCCTTGGATCATTATTCTAATGCTTATCTACCTATAAGCCAGTTCCCAAAAGCAAACCTCTAAATACCATTTTCTAGCCATCAAGAGACACCATGTCAATACCTGCCCTTTGCTCTGCACCTCATGAACTGTCCTCTAGACCTAGCAACGCTTCCACAAAAAGAAGCATCCTTCATCAGCAGTCCCTTCAACTCATCATTCTCTACATCATAACCAAAAGCTTTGGGATGGTCAAGAGATGCAATCATTTCCTTAAGTTCCATTTATTTCCCTTCCTTTTGCTTGTGAGCAGCTTACTTTGTTTTCTGGAAGCTTGGCACTCTGTCTTTGTCATCATAGCTCACTGTAACCATCCTGTTGCACACACTTTCTTCAGTTTCCATTTTCAGTACCTGTTCAGGAATTCTTTTTGAGATTATGCTTTGGTATGGGATCTTTTTCTTTCCTCTTCTCTTTGGGGTGGTGCTTAGAATAAGCTCTTGTACAGCAAGGGAAAGGGGCTATAAACTAGTTACTTTCTGGTCCTGAAGAGGATGAGGTTCTCTTTCTTGGATGTAAATAAAGCTTAATTTTTTTTTCATTTGTATACTCAGTGTGTATATATAAGTAAATAATGCTACATTCATGGTATGAGAATGAAATCCTATACTCATTTGCAGAAATACTTTTCTGACAATTGTTTTAACTTTGGAAATTCTTCAAATAGATGGTGTTAACTGACATGGCTTCCAGCCACGAACAACTGTGCTTGAGTAAAAAGACAAGCTTCCCGGATATATTCCAACTGGATATTCTGGGTCTTTCTTGAAGTTTGTTGCAACGACCCAAGAAAAAAAATACTTTCACAGAGTTTCATCCAAAAGAATTTGGTTCTTAACTCAGAATTACAGTTTGGGGGCTAGATGCCAAAATAAGTACAATGTTAGTAAGTCAAATAACTCCTTTTAGGAACAAAATTCAACTTTAGAGTAACCACTATGACAAGGCTAACTATCATATTTACTCATATACCACACGTGTTCCCTGCATCCAACCCTTCAGAATTGGGGCACGTGTCTTAAATATGAAAGCTAATTTTTCTTTGCTGAAATAGAAACAGAGATGGATAGAAGTAGTCACATTTTGTTCTAACAGCTGCAAAGATGCCTGGCTGCCAAGGTGGCCCTAGGAAGCAGAAGAGGTGGAGTCTTGTATTCCCTCTCTTACAGCTACAGTAGCTATTGGCTTAGAACTGTGGCTTATGCTTGAAGCAGCAGTTGAGCTATCTCTGGGCAAGTGAGCTGCTTCATGCCATCTGTAGTATCTTGATGCAACTTGTGGTGTGGAAGAAACACGCTTTATATAAGTTCCTATCAAGAATAAAACTATTTACAATGAAGGACTACCGGTATTGCTGCTGCCCTTGCAGGGGTCTGGGGCCTAGCCATGTTCCTGTACTATCACATCCATAAGTTCCTGCTACCTCACCTATGCTGTCTCCTAGCATGCCACTCTTCCTGGACATGCTGTATTTCCAGGTGGACTTATTCTTGTCACGTAGTCAGCCATGACTTTTGTTCTTCTGCCTTCCAAAAACAAGGTGTGGGTCATATTTGGGGGCGTGTGGTATGCAACAAAACAAGTATTTGAGTCCTGATTGTATTCAGGGGGTTCATTTGTGCCGCTGGATCCCTGCTAGAAGTAGAAAAAATAACGTATAAAGAATGTGGTAAATATTTACCGTTTTCCTTCACCTAGAGATCCAATTATAGCTCTTTGCCCTAAATCTAAAATTAATATGTCTTCAATTTTTCTTTTTTAGTAGGCAGGAAGAATGGAGAGCTGCAAAGGGAGAAGAAGAAGTAAAGATATATAGATCAGAAGAGAAAAGGAAATATATTACAAGTCATGCTCCAAGAGAGAACAAAATACCTTCTTTCTCTAAGGTAAATAAATGCCCATCCAGTTGTTGTTACAATATTTTTCATAAAACGCTTTGAGTATGCTGGACCAAAAAAGTTCATAAAAACTCACTTCACTTAAAATTTCAAAAGGAATCTCTTGATGTATTAATGTATTTAGATTTACTCTGAATAAAAGAGCACCTGCCTCTTGTTAGTCGTTTAGAACAAAATTTAAGTTTTGCTCTTGAAACTGTTAAGTGGGACTTGGCTCTCTTATGTTTGAGAGCAAGAAATCATGTGTTCTTTCAAAAGTGTCCTGCAGTTCTGTATACGTGAATAAGTCCATCCCTTTTAAGGAATTCGAAGTGGAGCTTACAACAAAACCCATCAAGGTTCATGAGAACTCCAGACTGGGTCAGTAGTTTGAGTGAGTTGCTCAAAGTGAGAATAAAAAAAGTCACTCTTAGTAATTTTTGACCCCCTCTATAGGCTTATTATCAGTAACAAGGCTATTGCAGCTCTGGAGACCTTTTTCATACTGTGCTGGGTAGTAGTTCATAAAACAATCAAAGGATTCTGGTTGGTCTTCTGTTTGCGTTGGGTTACTGTAAGAGCTGTAATCAGGTGGCTTGCATTCAAAATTGCATAAGAATGTAGGATTTGCCATTTTCAGAGCAATCCAATAACCCATCTAAAGTTTTTGGTCCAACAAGTGCAAGTACTAGATTCTTCAGAGGAAGAGGCAAGAAAACCTCCTAATGGACAGTTTTGAAATATATTGCACAACTGGGAAGTTGTTGTTTCTTTACCCCTTAATTTTAAGTCTGTCTTGAATTGGGAAAACCCGTGCCCCAAATTGTTGTTATTTACGTAATTGCCCTTTTTTAACCTTGCTTAGCCTGTGCCTAGCACCTTTGCTCATTCAGTAGTCTCGCTGCTACAGCGGGCTGCAGGAACATCTGTTTTTTCTGCTGAGTTCCTGAGAGATTTATAATATGTCAGGAATATTGGGCTAAGTGATTGGTCAGTTCTTCAAACACCTCCCCCTCCACCCCCACTTGTTTTAAGGAAATATTGCAACCGGTAAGTTGACAAAATCTACATGGACAGTAGTGATTTACACACATCAGTAACAGTCACCTTTTATAAGTCCTGGAGTTCACTGAATATATATAGTGTTGCTTTAGTGTATCTGTGGACATAAAATTGGTATGCTTATGCTCCCTTTCCCTGTCCTCTTCATATTCATAACTCGTGTTATGATTAATAAGCAGAATCCCAAAGGGGTTCTGGATTAGTTAGATGTCAGGTGGGCTTTAAAAGTCTCTCTAAGGTGGGGGTGGGATCCTTTTAATTCTAAAATGTCTCTATTGTTATTGATCTTATTAATCATTTTTATTTGATGTTTATGTGTGTATGTTCACATGAATTGTACATTGAAATGTTAAAACATTCTTGTTGTGCAGTAAGTGCACACCTATCCATACTTTGTTGTAAATTGGGGTGGAAGCAAAAGTTGCCATACAAATCTGTTTTCTGTGTTTGTGGTATGTCTTTAAATATTTTAATTTAGTGTTCATATTACAGTAGTATGCAGAAGCTGGTGAGTTCTGTGCTCTGCAAACATGGGGACAGACTACAGTTTTTTTCCAGAGAGATTGATTAGAAAAAATGTGAAGACCTAGGACCTAGGAGAGCTGATGGGGAGGCTGATGGGAACTGTCAACGCAGAGAAACTATTTTCACATATCTGTATAACTACAACAACTAGTAAATGATAGATGCAGGAACTTAAATATTATGTACAACAACCCTGCGATGACACCCCCCCCATACTGGCACTTTTACACTAAAATCACTTAGCCAGATATACCTATAATGTGACATGCGGTACTTGTACAATGGTTTTTCAACAAAGCAGGTTGCATTTAGATAATGTTAAATATGTTTCTATTTAATTTTTTTAATGTATTATCTGATCCATTCTAATAATATCACTAATATAAAAATAGTTAACTCATAAATATGCTTTCCTTTGTTCTTGTTCCCTCTGACATTAACATTTTTGTTATGAAAAGGCAATCAAAATAACTCTGAACATGTAGAGGAAATCAAAATATTTAATCAGAGATGCATTTTAATTGTAGTTTCATTGGATTATAGTGAAATATTTCAGAAGAAATTACTAAATTAGTACAGTGGAAAAGACTATAATGTATTACAGCTATTTGTTGGGGAGGGATCCTAACTGAAAATATTGCACTCTTCTTTGTGGGAAGATGATTTTTAAAAATGAGTAATTATTCCCAAAGTTATCATCAAGCTGCTAGAGAGGTGGCTGCCTGGGCCTGTGGGCTGCATGCTCATCCCCTCCAAATTGCCTGCAGACAATCAGTTGGACAGCCCTGTATGGGAAGACCAAACTTTGTTATATGTCCATATTATTTAATCCCTAATGTTTTTATAACACTTAATATATTGTTTGGATGTAAGAAAAATATGTAAAAAGAGCAGCGATTTAAGTAACTTTGAGCATTGGGCTGTTCTTCACGGAGAGTCCCTGTGGAAAGGGTGGTCAAAGAGGAACTAAACTGGGTGTACATCCAGAACACAGTTTTGGAAGATTGTTCAAATAAGGAATTGGGGAGCAAAGCTTATAGGTAAGCGCTGAATTTAGGCAAGACCGTCTGCTAAGGATGTCAGTAATGTAAAGGTATCTCCATTCAGAAAATTATAGGGCTAAAAGTGTAGTTGATGGAGACTGGAGACATGTTGAAATCGGAAAGAAATAAATGTTAGAAAAAAAGATGAAGTAAAAAAGCTATACAGTGGTACACATATGTCAGTGTAAGAATTTGGAAATTAGAAATCGTAATGCTGAAAAAGGATGTAGTAAGCATAACTGAAGCATAGTGGAATGCCAGAATTCAAAAGAATACTGTAATCCTGACTGTAAACTGTACTGAAACAGCAAGTTAGGTCATAGAACTTGGGAAGTAGCCTTATTTTTAACATACTTTATCATAAAATCTATAGAATTTGAGGGGAGCATACCATAGTAAAATCTGATTGGAAACAACTTCAAAGTCAGAAGAATAAAAAGCAGTCTAGGAGAACTAGGAGCGCTATACTTAAAAGCTTCCACATCAAAGGGATATTGAACGTACAAAATTAAAATAGATAAAAGGTTAACAGGCTAATTAAATCAGCTACTTACCCACAAACTGATCTGACGGAACAAATTTAGAGCAGAGTTTCCCAGGCTTTTCCAGCCCAAGACGCATTAATAAATTTTTTCTGTGGTGCACAACCCCCTCACTATTTTTTTTTGACCACGTACAAAGTCATTAGAGTGTAGCATGATGTAGCGTCTCATGTCTGCACCAGAACAGCAGCATTACACAATATACTTTGGTTTGGTCTACAAGACTAATTTTATATAAATGACACGCTTTTTTTATTTATTTTTCTAATGCATGACATTTTTTCCCAAAAATCTGCGACGTGCCTGTTAATTTCTAATGGGACACCAGTTGGGAAACTGTGGTTTAGAGAACCACATCCTAGCATGTTAAATTTATTTTCTTGAAGCAGCTAGTTTTGAGCACAAGGAGGAAAAACTTGATTTCTCCTAGACAATGCCAAAGTAGACTGTTAGACCACAGTGTGTGCTATATCTCCAGCTCTTTGTATTGTTAGCCAAGAACCCAAAGGTGTGTGATTTTTGGCCCATTGTTTTATACAGCTCTGGATCTTCAGCTGTTTAGAACTGCTTTGAAATTAGTAGGTTGGATCTGGCTTAAGGTGATAAGGGCATAATCCACTTCATAGGAATTTCCCAGATAGAAGAATGCAGCATTCAAACTAGGAAGCAGCCTACACAGCACTAAACATCCACTGTATCCATGTGCTTTGTACAAATGCTGTTCTGGACAGATGGTCTGTTTTTATCTATGTATTTCAAATACTGGGAATGCTGTGCTTTGCATTTATCTCTCAGAAAAATCTGTTTTGCAACAGCTATCTTTTTGAAAGCTTCTCTGGATATGGTTCAGTAGTTAGCAAGAACGATGACCTAGAGTAGGGGTGTCAAACATATGACCCATGGGCCAGATCTGGTCCATGAAGCCATGTAACCTGGCCAGCAGGTAGATAAACTGAGTCTGTACACATGTCCAGATCCTGTGTGCCTCATATGGTGCTCCAACTGAGACCTGAGCAATGCCCCATAGAGCGGGGAGGATCACCTCCTTGGACCTGCTTGAGATGCATCTGTGGATGCATGACAAGGTGTGGTTGACCTTCCTGACCACGTCCCCACACTGTTGGCCCATGTTCATTTTGGCATCAGTAATGACTCCCAAGATCCTTTTCTGCCTCTGCATTGACAAGAAGGGAGTTCCCCAGCCTGTAGGTATGCTGCTGCTTCTTCCTCCCCAGGTGCAGCACCTTGCACTTGTCAGTGTTGAAATCCATCCTGTTCTCATCTGCCCACCCCTGTAACCTGTCTAGGTCCAATTTCAAAGTATTCCTCCCTTCTAGCGTGCTCACATCCCCCCACATCTTGCTTGCTTGTGCTGTCTCAAGTTGTTCATGTCTTAATCAATTTAGTGTGAGTCAAGTTTCCTAACACAGCATCAGTACCTAAAAGGGATTTTCTATAGCAAAATTAAACAGAATACAGTAAAATCCTTGCTATCCGGTATTTAAATAACCGGAATCGTCACTAACCAGAATTTCTGGCTGACTGCGGGGATGGGGAAAGCTCGCACGTGGCAGCTGCCGCTGCTGCCCACCACCCTGCGCTGCTGCTGCTCTGTGTGCAGCCACCACACACACACACACACACACACTCACCCTCTTTCTCTCTCCGCTGGGGGCTGGGGAAAGCTCACACGTGGCAGCTCTGCATGCACGGCCCTGTGGTGCGGCTGCTTCGCTGCACTGCATGTGGCCACTGCCACGTTCTCCCCCACCCCCGCCCAGTGTTATCTGAAAACCCTGCCAGGTTATTTCAAATAACTGCAGTTTTTACATGACTGGCAATCCCCTTACCCCAGGGATACCGGATAACAGAGATTTTACTGTAGTGCTTAAATTTGGGCGCTCACATGGCAAATGAAATAAAGACAGAAAATTAGACAAAATTGGATATACCATAAGGCGGTTAGAGCTCAGAACAGTTTGCCCTAGTATTTTGCGCCAGGCAAACAACTCCTGTGTATTCATGTCTCACAATACCAGTACATAGGCCTTCAACAGCCAACAGGTTGTGGTGCCTATTGTCTAGTGTCTTAAAGAGTTTGCTCCACCCAGTCCATCAAAGCTGTACGTATTTAAGGAAAAAAGTGCTGCTATATGGCTAAGCAAGGAACAGCTACATTTACCATAATAGGGTTTTTCCCCATATAAGTATATTTTGGAGTTCTCTTGACCTTTTTTTGCATCATATGAGTTGAATTGGTTCCTCCCTTTTTTCCCCCAAAAGAAAGATCTAGAAAAAGAGGTTCAACAGTTGTCTGTCAGAAGTGGAAGTGTAGGCCTCCTACTTACTGTCAGAACGGAGAGGGAATCAGTAAGATTAGTGGGTGCATCTGCATGTGCCATTACGGTGATGTCATAAACTCCAGTGCAGTTTGCACCATTTACCGTGGCACCTTAATGGCATGTGTAGATGCTTGAACTGCTGTGGTCCAGGGTGCATGTACAGATGCTGCACTGGGGACTGTAGCAGTTTGAGTCAGGGTGGAACCAGACCTGGGCTAGCACGGGATCTGAGGGGTCAGCTCGGGGAGGTGGGGGGAGGGTGGCCTAGGCAGGGATCTGCCCCCTACTGCCTGGGCTGACCAGGCGCAGTCTACACCTGGGTCAATGTTTACGTGTCTTTAGGTGCAGTTATTTTCACTGCCGTAAGATAGTACTGTCAGAGACTACTAGCTTGCTGTGGTCTAATAGCATCGCACGTGTACACTGTGGTGCTTTACGCTGCAGCAAATTAGTCTACTGCCCAGTTAAGCATGTCTGTAGATGCACCCAGTGAGTGCATGTTGGCTGAGGCATTTCTGGATCATAATGCTTTTATGAATATGGTTCATATTATACGTTTTTATCAGTACCGCGTTATTTTCTTTTAGACAAGACAAGGTTTGAATCCCAGGGACTGTTGTTGTTTTTTCATCCACTCCAGAACTCTTAAGAGTAAATTTCCTGTCTTATAAGCAGTCTGATTGAAAGAGAGAAGATAAATGGCATAGTCTTTGCTCTTCTGGCATCTAGGCAAATTTCTATAGGTTCTTTCATTTTTGGCCAAGTCATAACTTCTAACAGTGGTATAAGAAACACAAATTCTTAACTTCATCAACATCTATGTGATGAAAATTTGGATTCTTACAGAAGAGAATGATGAAGGGGTTTCAGAGTTTGTGTTAGTTAAACTATTTAACTCTGATCTAACATCTTCCCTAGTAATTAACAGGTTTTCTTTATAGGTTATCAAACATTTTTTCCAAAAACTTGAGAGTATATGCCTAAGGAGTGGTTAAGGGTATTATGAATTTTGTAGAGAAAAGATAATGGCACTATTTCTGGACTTGCTGAAAATGTCCTCTCTGAGAAGTTGTTAGAATGGGATAAATGTGTAATAAAATATGCTTTGTGGTAACAATTTATTGTTTATTGCTGTAGTGCATATATAGATTATAGGTTTCCCTTACTTTATGCTGGACATGCGTTCCTGGAAAACGGCACATAACTTGAATTCGCATAAAGGGAACCCACTTTACAATGTAACAAATAGGGACCTCGCCTGTACTGTTCCAGGACCCCGACTGTACTGACCCCTGGGCCCATTTCTACCACTTTTACAAGACAGTTTTGGCACTCACCAACAGCAGACAGTACGCACAAGCATGCGGCACTATCATAATGGGGATGACAACTATAGAAACATGTGTCGCAGACAATGAGCAAGGAGCACAGATCCACACAGGAGACTGTATTTTGATGCGTGTCACTTCCCAAAATGCACCACACAAAGCTGCTGACTGCATGCTTCCACCACACCAATCACATAAGAGTGAATTAACCTCGCATCTAACACATTTTTGGTATAAAAAGGGTCATCGTATAAGAGTGAATTTTCACATATAGAACCTGCATAATCGCAGGTTTCTCTTGCTTTCGGAAGTTTCAGTTCACCAAAGATATCCTTGTGCTGTACAAATTGTCTCAAGGTTCTTCACTGTGGTTGTGTACAGCTGCTTTAGTAGCAATTGACAGGTCTGTTTTTGGTTATGCTGTTGCATGCAGGTGATGAGGCTGTTGGTTAACACCTTTGAATCTTATTATTTGGAAAAAAAGAATTCAGTTACATCAAGATAAATTTTTATATTATTTCTATAAGTCACTGGCTTTTAGAATTTACTAAAAAGCTGTTACCATCCTTAAAATTCATACATATGTTCTTTCTTAGCTTTTGACTCTTCCAGCACATGTTCTCAAGTTTCTGATTTTAGAGTATTAACGATTTTTGCTGTCATATAGAATTCTCTCAAAAATGTTTTGTTAGAGCTACTCAGAAATTAAACTGAAACAATTATAAAAACACATTGACTGTTTTTCATGTGCATGTCTTTATAGAACCATTCGCACGACCACATACTAGACGCAGGAGACTCAAGAAAGCAACAAGCTAACCAACACAACTACCGTACCAGATACGCATTAGAAGAAACTGCCAGGCCTGCTGAAGAGTTAGAAAATGGAAACAGTTCATCAGATGTAAGAGTTTAAATAACAAAGCAACATTTGAGATTATTTACATTGCTTCAAGTAGCTCTAGGAATTGCTGGTTTTGAAGTTCAAAATTTGTTTTTATTGTTGATCTTCAATTACATGCTCATCTACCTTTGCATAGGTGTTAAGGTAATAAACATTGCCTCCACATTTTATGCGTGCATGTGCACGCAAAATTTCTTAATGGTCATTTTCAGAAAATAATTACATGTGCAAGTCCTTAAAACTTCAGTGTAGCTTCAGTGTCCGTTTGTGTTCTTTCAGCAATTGACCTACATAATAACGTAAATTAGTCAGAAATGAGATTCTTGACATAAACATGAAACAGTTAGTTTGAAGAGATCAGTGTGCATTTAAGTCCACACTAATCAAAGACCATTTTTATTTGATATGTGTATAAGTTTAATAGTTTTATATGAGCAAATGAAGCATGAACTGCTGGTTTTGTTAGACTCTAGGTAACTAAATGAAAGAGGGAGGAGGACGAATCATATTATACAAATTCATGGAAAGCATGAGTGGAAGTCTAGAGTCAAATATGTAGAATAGGATTTTATAGCCAAAAGGAGATAGCTTATTTAAAAATAGCTAACTTTTTGAAAAGTTCAGGTGAAGAGCTGTTAAAAGACTTGCATATCTAAGTCTGTTTAAAATTCTGCCTCTATTCAGATGTTATACACTACTTACTTAAAGCATAATGTAATGACTTTGCTAATCCCTTGCACATGCAGATATTGTGCCCAGTTAGATTTCCTGCAATACAGGGTCATATTTTTAAAAGTGTGCACTAATTTCTTCAGTATTCTAAAATGCAGATTTGGATATACACAAATTTGGGAGGATAAAAAAATTTAAAAAGTTTATGGACTTTTAAAAACCCTTCCCTTCGTGCTGACACAAAATCTGGCTGTGGAGATGCGTCTGCATAATTGAGGATAAATTGCTACTTTAGATGTGCATACTTGAGTAGTATTAAGTTTAATTTGGGGTCTGAAGTGTTTGTATGGTTAAGAATATGACCCAAGTTTTAACACAAAGTCCGACAGAATTTTTAATAGTAGTCTGTGCCATTTACATATCATTATAAAACATTTTAGCACACTCTTGTCTGCATTACCAGTAGTTATGGAAATTGTGTTCATTGCTCTCCAACATGGAAGACAGCCATTTTGTTGATAGGGACCAACGCACATGATTTAATGAAGAAAGGCTTTGTAGGGGAAATAGAAAAATTAGTGAACGAAATTTAGGCCCCTGGTACATGATCATTTAATGGCACGATTGTATCTGTTCCCTAATCCCAGCAATTATGCCTCCTGCCACTAATCGTGGAAGCCAGGGAAGGTAATAAATAGGGGATCAATAACTCCATATATGTCCAGTTCAGTGCTCTCCCTTCAAAGCAAGTGGTGCATTGCAGGGTTGGTTTGCAGGCAGGACATGCGGTTTTGGGGTTGGGGATCAGATTCCAGTTGTGCCATTACGGCTTGCCAGCACAGGGCAAGCCTGAGATCATGATCTCCCCTATACCAGCAAGTAGAAAACCAGCTGCCTGGCAAACCAATGTGGTCCCAGGGCTGGGACAGACAACCACAAAACTATTCTGTAAAATGTGTAATAATTTTGCAGCTGGTTTCCTTTGCACCTTAAACTGAATGTGTGGCAGAGTCCCTACCATGCAGCTTGGTGCCAGCTGCATGGTGCAGTTCGTCTCTACCCCAGGACTGCACTGGAGCTGGTTTGAGACTCCAGTGTGGTCTAAGGCTGGAACCAGCAATCAAGTGGATGTGGAGTTGTCAGTTGATTGTCATTTTCAGCACTGGGACTGTACCAGAGCCAGTTCAGGGCTCCAGTGTGATTCTGGGGCTTTGACTGACAATTGGCTGATTGTACCTCCTAGCCCTGGGACCACACTGGGGGCCTGTCCCAGGGCTGTGCTATGTAGCCAGCATCAGGCTGCATGGCAGGGACTCTGCCACACATTCAGTTTTTCTCCTCCCTCTTTTCATGTGTGTGAAGGCTTTCAGGTGTTGTTTTTGTAGAGGCTTGCTGGTTCAGCATTAATTTTTTCTACTTAAGCGTTTAAGAGATTATATAATAGGGTTACAGTTTAGTACACTTTTAAAAAGTTAAATTTAGCATAGTAAATATGATATAAACCTGGAAAAGATTATTTTTGAAAAAAAATCAATCTTTATTTTAGAGGGTCCACTTCTGTGGAAAGGGTAGATTGGTTCATGTAATGGGGTAGGTACTATTGTAAGGACTTGGATATCTTGATGGACAATTTCACGTGCTATGACAGACCCCCTTTTTTCAGTAATGGAATCCAAAGTGCAAGCAATGTTTTTATCTTGGACTTCCCTTGATTTTTTTTGTTTGTTTTGAGGCATTTTTTAAATCTCTGAAAAGTAATTATGTAAGCATGGCTTATATAACCAATCTTCCTGTAAATAAATAATGTTAGCTTACTTTGATAACAGAAGCCTTCTGGATTTTTTTCTTTTTAACTACTATTGGCTCTGCAGGACCAGTTTAATAGCAAGATGATAAATCTCTTTTCTTCTATTCCTTTACAAATTGTTAACTAAATTTCAGCTGAAGTTTTTGTATCTCTCACCTGTTACCTGTCTGCAGTCACACTGACTGCAAAGGGGTTGCACGTGTGTAATTGATATGGTAAAATGTTGCCTGCATGATCTTTATAGAGATTGCATGAGAGAAAGAGAGCCCACCCTGATTTATAAGAACTGCAGGTGTATGGTTTTTGTAAAAGAAAAATCTTTAGAAATTGAACAAATTTGACCTGAAAATGGATCCAAATCGTTAATCCCTCAAAACGTATTTTATTTATTATTTTTTAGTAAAAATCAAAATAAAAGCGGTACATTTATTTTTTATAACATTTTTTCCTACATAACCTTAATGTTCATCATTTGTGAAATATTTGACCTACAGCTGATAAGCAAAAAATCTTTCACTGACTCTTTATCAGATTCCAGTCTCTTTTAGATAGATAACATCAATGAAGCTGTTTTTATTCATGTTTCATTGTTATTGTTAAATTCACCAGCATGGCTGCACATGCGATATTTATTTTTTCAATTAATTTTCCTTTGGGTGTGGGGGGAGGCTAGGGGAGATACTTTACATGGTATTGGAATACTTCATTTTCACTATTATGAGTTTGCAAGATATATTTAAATTATTTCTCAGAAAATATAGCTCAGCCTATATGTGTGAGATGCAGTGTTTTCTGTTAATTTGTGGTGAGAAATATATACAGTGCATAGAATATGCTTGGTTACATATGCTTAAACTTTTCGCTGAGTGCTGACTATCTTATTTCTACTTGGAGCACTGGGCAGTTGATTGGAATTTTTTTAAAATTAAAACAGTTTGATCTGTGGTATGAACTAAGAGATGTCAAAGCCATTTATGCAATAACTGTAGTAGTACTACAGTTCCATATAGAGGACCCAGCTGAGATCAGGCCTCCACTGTATATACATTATATAAGTAAAGTAAAAGACAGCCCTGGCTTCCAAAGATGTGAAAATTGAAATGGGCAAGAAAAGGTTGGGGGCAGGGGGGCGCAGATGATTATAACAGGTCATTACAGAACAGAGAACAGAACCACAAACTACCTGTGTGTTGTTCCAGTGCTCAGTCCACTACAACATGCTACCTTTTGGTTTTGCTCTCATTTAAATAGCTAAGGACACAGTCAAACCTGTGCAAAGAGAATTCATACCTGACCATCAAAATGCTATTTTTCATATATACTAAACCCCTGAAAGATGACATTTACAATAGAAAGATTGACTCCGAATTTTAATCATGCTCTTGAGTGGTCATGTTATAATTAATACTTCGTTATTATACCACAGAGTAACTGTCACATACTTCCTTATCAGGAAGGAGAAATAGTTGTTGCCAGTGGTGGAACATCAGAAGATGATGAGAGAGCATGGCACAGTGATGGCAGTTCTAGGTAAGTGACAGCATACAAAGAAAAATAGTTGTACTTTTTAAGTCTTGTATTTTGCCTTCTCTGCTTATTCCATTAACATTAATGAAAACTGAAAATGAAGGTGAAAAACAAGGACACAGTTACCTAATCTTGTTGTCTGTATGTAATGCTGCTGTCAATCCTTGAATGACACTTTAATGTAGCCCATAATGTAACTAGAGTTCTGTGAAAAGCTCTTATATACAAGGCAGTAACTATAAGCATTAGTTCCTTGAACTGAATTGTTCTACTTAGCCATGAAGACACATGCAGTTAAGTTCTGTATAAATAAAAATAGGCATCCGTTCAAGAACATACAACTTTCAGGCAGTGGGGGAAGGGAGGAGTGAAAGTAGGGGAGGAGCATAAAACAATTAAAAAAAATAAGTAAAAATTGGAAAGGAGAAAAAAAGTTAATTCTGTAATATAGAGAAGAAACAAGGCAGTAAATATCTTCAGTGTCAGGACATGGAAGGACACTTTTTCAGTTCATCACGAAGGAACTTGAACCAAAAAAAAGGTTGGAAACCACAGCACTAAGGAATGATGATCTCTTCACTGTTATGCAGTAAGGTAGAATCTGATTGCTGATATCCAGATTTTTAGTTAAGTAAAATTAAGACAGTTTGAGATTTGTTTTCATATTTTTAAAAAGTACTAAATTTAAAGAGATTTTTTTGTGGGAAATGGCACGATAGGACTCCTTCACTCTTTAAAAACTGAGGAGGAAGAAATGCATCTGGAAGCTGAACATCAGTTACGGGGGGAAAATTACAATGTCATTTAACTTGATGTGGAGGAAGAACAAGACATGAGTTTAATTCCCAACAGTTTAGGCATATATAGGACAGGAATGGGAAATATGCTTTTAACTCATTTGCTAACAATGGAAGATGCTGTTGATACAGCATGTAGAGAAGGAAATTAGATTTCCCACAAATAAGTGATAAAGATCTATATTAGAAATAGATGTGACAGCTATCATCAACAAACTACAGTCAAAGCTTTTAGAGCCATATAATGTACACTTGCAGTCTAGGGTATTATTAATTGTCTAGAGCAGGGGTGTCAAATACAGTTGGGGGCATGGCCTGCTGCTGAATCTGGAACCATCTGGCCCCACTGGTTCTGGCCGTTGGCAGGAAACTTGGCTTGATACCACTGCCAGCATACCCCTCACCACTGCCACAGTGAGCACTGAAGCAGTCCTCACCCTGAGCTGGAACTGACTTTCAAGGAAACCCATGGTCCAGATGCACCCAGGTAAGTGACACCCCAGTCTAGAGTGATGGGGGAAGAAGGGAGTTGGATTGTATTGAAGACTGTTCCTTATCCCTGTTTCCACTTTGCAAGAATAGCTTCTTAGTACTTTAAGAAACAGGAGGTTGAGAGAACAGTAAGTGTTCCAGGGAAGCTGTTGAACTTTTGTACAGCAGAGGGGAGGCGCACAGTCCCTTCTCCTATTGTTTGATTGGTCAGGCAATTGGCTTCCACTCATAAGACTAATAGCAGTCCCACACAACTGATTTGAGAAACAGTACCCTTTGAAATAAAACCCACGGCAAATAGCTGGAGCACCTCAATGGTCCTACATAGCTGTTTGCTGTGGCTATGTATTCTACTAGCTATGGAGTTGTCAACCGGGGATACGCGTACCCTTAGGGGTACACGGGGGCAGGTGGGCCACCCGCCCTGCATCCAGCTGCTCGCCACTCTGCCCCCCTGCCCAGCCACTCACCCCCCCCCCTCGGGGTACACTTATTAAAAAGGGGGCTGTTGGGGGGTACACTTATTAAAAAAGGTTGAAAACCCCTGCACTGGCTAGTTCACACATCCTTATGTTTCTTAGCCCTCTGAGAACAAGCTAAGCTCCACTGTAAATGCATACCTGTATAAAGGCAGTTATTTCACATAGCAGTGTAAATACTATTGTACTTTTAAAAAATCCTTAGATTTCTATCAACTGTTTTAATTCTGCCCCTTTACCCTGACTTTTCCGCTTACTCGTTTGCCATGGGAAAACGCGATAAAACACGGCTTTTCTCTTTTTAAGCAGAAAAATGCAGGAAGTGGCAGGTTTCCCCTTGCAGGCTGGCAGAGTTCCAGCCTGCAAGGGGTTGGGGGAAGCGGGAGGAGGCAATTGGGCAGGGAGTGCCACATGCATGTGTGCATGCACATTGACGCACCCATAGTAAGGGAGGGAGGGAAGGAGTTGGGCAGAGCTAGAGCTGGGACTGGGGGCACTGCCCAGCCAAGGTGGTCTGTGAGGCTTGGGGCCCAGGGCCAGAGAGGGAATGTGCGACTGCAAGGCCTGGGCAAAGAGTGGGACAGAGCAGGGCAGGGAGTCTTGGTATGTTGCCAGGAGCCCTGTGCTGCCATGGTGAAGCACACCACCTGCCCACCCAGCAGCAGCAGGGGTTGCAGCATGGAGTTAAGCACCCTGCTGATACCAGGCAGGGAGTGCCTCGCCATGGTGACTCGGCTTCCAGCAATGGCACTGAGCCTGCTTGCCCTGCCCCTGGAGTGAGGGCAGCAGAGCAGAAAGCTCCAAACCTGCCCTGCCCCCCCAAGCTCCACTCCATCCATGCCACTTGTGTAGGTGCGGGAGCTGGGCTCCATACTCCACTCAGGCTGCTGCAGCTGCTGCTTCCCATGAGCAGCAGCCGGGGCTGGGACGCTGCTGGGGTGGGGCAGGGGGCTGCGGATCCAGGTCCCTGCCAATGTTCTCTAAGGTTTAGCGATCCGTGAGCAATCCTGGCTGGGAGTGCACGGGTATCTGTGCCCCGCCCCTCCCCCCTCCTGCAGCAGCCTGTGCCCAGCTTGGGGTGGGTGGCAAGCAACCGGATGTGAAGCCACCCGTGGCAGCAAGGGGAATGTCAGCGCCCTCTTGCTACAGCACTGGGCTTCCCCCCCGCCAGGCTGGTGCTCAGGGGCCATGGCCTTCTACTACTCCCGCCATCGATACGTCACTGTGTGCACGGCATTAAAAAGTTATTGCACGTCATGATTTTTTTTATTGTGTGCGGCCGTGCACGCACGCAGCTTAGAGGGAATGCTGGCCCCATAGCCCTGGCAGCCTCTTTTAGAAAGGGGGGGAGGGCTGCGGGTGGGAAGTAAAGGTCACTGACACGGCCAGGGGGCTGTGGGTTGGGAGTGAGGGGCACTGGCACAAGGGCTGCTCAGAGCTACAAAGCAGTGGGTGCACATCAAGCAGCAAGAATTTATAGGTATTTAGAATTTATTTGATTATAGTGACTGATGCCCTGGTAGGCTTCCTAATTGCCTTAAAATTGTAAATATATCAATAAAACATTGTGTTCAACTGGTATCTATATATGGATCTTGGGGGTTTAACCAGATCATTTACAGTCTTTAAACAGAGAAAACCTGTTTATCAGATGGATTGCCCAATAGTTCACAGATTTCAAAGCCAGATGCCCCTATGTTTTCTTCATAGGAAGAAAAACAAGATATAAAGGAGGCAATTTAAAATATGCTGCAACTAATTTCGGCAGACAGCTATCCAACAATACCTCACATACTGAAGATTGTATTTCTGTCTCATCAGAAAACCATTATCAGCTCTTCAACCATCCATATGAGGTCCCAACCTACTCCTAGTACACCACCATGTCCCTATGAGTCCCTTTTTAAATTATTGACCTATCCCAGACACTAGGAGTCTGACTTCTTCCCCACCTTCTTAAACAGATTATTTCCCCAAGGCCACCGCTTGCTTCAGAGCATCAGAAACTGAATCACCTATTCAATAAGTACCTGAGCTCATGCCCACCAAGCTTTGAAACTTTGAACTTACTACCTGCAGCAGGGGGGCACAACTCAACCTTTACTGGAGGTCAGTTGTAAGGTACAGATCCTAATAGAGAGTCATTACTAACAGGATCTCTCTCTGACTGAATGCAAGCACTCTGCAGGATTGCAGGTGGGAAATCTATGCAAGCACACCCACAGATTAAAGAGTCACTGCACAGCAAAGATGCAGGATTTGCTGTTTTGTTTTGCAAATCTTTTTTCAGTTTACAAAATGTTTTAATCATGAGTTATGGCAGGGAAGGCAAAAAATAAAAACAATATCTACCCAACCCTGGTTTATCTGCTAGCACAGGAACAATTCCTTTCTAGCTGCAAAAAGGCAGTTAGTACAATGACAACAAACCCCCAACCCCAGACCCTATTTTTGGGTCCTTGATGAAAATAGTTTATCCTGATTTTGTTCTGGAAATGATTTTTTTTCAACGCTTTATTTTATTTTATTTTAAACTTCTTTTCCATATCATCCCTAGTGACTACTCTAGTGATTATTCTGACTGGACAGCAGATGCAGGAATTAATCTGCAGCCACCAAAGAAAATTCCTAAACTTAAAACCAAGAAAGCAGAAAGCAGTTCAGAGGATGAGGAAGGAACAGAAAAACAAAAGAAGCAAATTAAAAAAGAAAGGAAAAAAGGGAATGAAGATAAAGATGGACCAACAACATCACCAAAGAAAAGGAAACCCAAAGAAAGAAAACAAAAGGTTTGAAACACTTTGTAGGTTATAAGACACATACCACAAAAGGATCTAAATGACTCGAATAGGTTGAGCAGCTGTATACAGCCTTACATACAGTCCAGTTTGAAATTACAGTTCGTTTATATTCTAGAAGTACCGATCATTGCAAATGTTGGCTCTTTTTGTGAGGTCTCTAAGGGTATGTACATGTGATACATTTAGGTCATCCTAAGCAAAGTTAGGGCAATCTAAATGCTCTAGTCTTCAGGCACTCATCGGGCTTACATTGCCCTAAAAATGGTGAACCTAATCTAAACTACAAAAAAAAGGGTGAACCAGATCAGCAAAGGGTTACTCTGGCCTAGCGAATGCTGGCACATGTTCACAGCATAACCTCAGGGCTGTGGTGAGGGCTGTGCTGTGCAGTTTTAATACCCCTGAACCTGACCAGGCTATCTGCCAAAAGGAATCTGGCAGAAGGCAAGATCTAGAATTACGTAGAGTTTTGCCTGTATTAGGGAGCTAAGGCTGGATGACATTTTAGGAAGAACTGTTTGATTCAGTATGAATCAAAGGAAGGGTAACGACTTTGTTTAGCCTTGCCAGTTGCAGTGGTTGGGATGCAAGAGGTCTTGTATTACAAAAATGTGTCCAGCTGGTGTATAAATCTTAAAGGGAGTTATGGCGGGGCTTGTGTGTTTGGTGTACAGATTACTCCATTACAGCTTCAAGTTTTGGCTGACCTGACTAAGCTTCCCTTTACTATAGTACTGGAATTGTCAAGGTCCCCACCTCTTCTATCACTCATGCTGTAACCTTTGTATGGGTGATGAATCTTTTTATTTATGGTATCCATGGTAAAAAAAAGAGTTCTCTGTAATATATCTGGCTGCAGTATACTTTTTAATTTCCTTTGGGAGGTGTGTTGGGATTGAGAAGGCAACTTTAAGAAGGGAAATTACACAAAAATGAGGAACTTCGTTAGAAATAAGTTAAAAAGGAGCAGTGATTCTTAACTAGGGTGCTAAACAAATAAGCACAGGCTAAATCTTGTCCATTCCTGGATGATCCTCCCACCACCAATGCCCAGCCCCGGGCAAGTAAGCACTATAATATAATTAGTTTTTTCAATTGGTGTCACTTAATTCACAAAAGTTATGGAGGGGTGCCTCAAGTCCAAAAGTTGAAAAACTGTATTAGAGGCTCAGAAAAATGTGTACCACAAATCAGGAAGGGTACCAAGTGGTTCCCTAAAGCCCCTTTATAGCTTAATAGCAGAGTTAAAGAGGCCATTTGAGGCAGAGGCATGCTCAAATGATGACAACAGGAAAGATTACAAACTTGAGCAGGGCAGGTGTAAAAGCAAAATAAGGTAAGCAAAACAAAGAATTTTGAGGAGTGTCTAGTAAAAGATGCTGAAGTTGATCTTAAAGTCTTTAAAAATACAGAAGCAGGAAGCCAGTGAGAGAATCGAATGGGCTATTAGATGACCGGGGATAAAAGGTGCACTCGGGCATGAAGAAGCCATAGCAGAGCAGCCAAATGAACTCTTTGAATTGTTTTTTACAGCAAAAGATACGGAGGAAATTCCCATGCCAGATCAGTTCTTCCTAGTAGATAAGTCTGAAGAGCTGGACCACATTGAAGTGACAAAGAAAAGGCTTTGGAACAGATCAATAAATTAAATACTAATAAGTCACCAGGACCTGAAGGCATTCACCTAAGAGTTCTGAAGGAACTTCAGGGTGAAATTGCAGAACTGTTGGTAGCAGTATGTAATCTAGTTACAATGACCTCTGTGCCAGAGTACTGGTGGGCTGCCAGTATAGCACCGATCTTCCAGACAGTATTGGCTTTACTTTGCAGCCTAAGATTCTCTTATTTTTGTGTGATGGAACATAGAATTTTGACCATTTCTAGTGTTTAAATATTTCAACTTTCATACTTGGAGAATGCAGAGAGCTAAATACATTTATGCTTTGTATATATTAAATGCATGGTAAAGAAATTTACATTAATTTTTTTTAAATTAAAAATCCTCTCATGTGGCTGCTTTATTATAAAATGATCCTAAACATTTTAATAACATTTCTATTTGTCAGAAAAATATTTTCTTTCTTATATGAATGATAATCAGAAAATTTATCTTTGACTTTGGCAAAACAATATTATCTTTACAGGATATATTGAATTTTGGTAAAGAGAGATTTATTTCTTACTACTGTATTCTGTGCATTTTCTTTAGAGATTGGCTGTGGGCGTGTTGGCAGAGAACGGCCTGACTTTGGAAGAGTGGCTGCCTTCAGCCTGGATTACAGATACTATTCCCCGTCGATGTCCATTTGTGCCGCAAATGGGTGATGAGGTATTTTTGTTTTTCTCAGCCTTCTTAACTCTCATGTCCGGTTTTTAAGGTTCTTTGATATACGTTTTAAAGACAGAGATGTAATTACTTTTTGGTAGTGTTTGAAATACTTTGGGGTTGATTTACAGTCAAGCTATAAAAGTACTTAAATAAAAATCACTTTCATTCAGAATTGACATTTTTGTATTTATGTCCCTCACAGGCTTTCTCTCTCTCCTCCAGAGTCTTCTAGACTCTGTCTTGTTTAAGTTATATTTTTATTTTTCCACGCAGGTGAGGTGTCTTTTGTTATACTGTGTTCACTTGGTGCTGCTTCCATAATATGAACTTTTGGGAAGGCTTCATCTATTGTCATCTGTTGCTCTATAGTGTCCTGTACACTCAAGTATATATAATAAATAAAATAAGCCAAATACATTAAAGCTTGCTATATAAAATTACATCTGAGACATGTTCAGATCAGTTTCACAGAAAATATCCAAGTTTGCAGACTAAATGTTGAGTGGACTTTTGTTTGGAGTTTATGTAAAGATGTTTAGCTTAAATTTAAAGTTACTTTTTTTTTATGTGTTAAATTGGAGGTAACCCAATATATTAGATAACTTTCATAATTCATATTTAGAGTCTCCATTGATTTTATTTCTATTCATATGTAGTTAAAAAGTTCAGAGCAGTTCTGCATTTTCTGTAGTGCAGGGAAACTACAAGAGGTAATATGGTGTTAAGTAGGGCTGTACGAAGCTTCAGTAGCTGATTCGATTCGGAGGAGATTCGGCCCAATTCAGGGACCAAATCTCTGACTCTGAATTGAATCGGGAGACCAAGTAAAAGCTCCAAATCAATTCGGAAAAGCTTCAGAAAAGATTTGGCTGATTCGGAGATTTGGCCATAGACTAAACGCAGTTGATAGCTGCCTCCAGCTGGTAAGTCTGTTGGGGTTGGGGGAGGGAGGAGGGAAGAGGTGTGGGGGAGGGAGGGAATGGGTGCTATGCCCTGCTGCCGCTTTCCCAGCCAGAGCAGGGGGGCGGGATGTGGGTGGGACTTGCTCCAGGCGGAAGGTGGCAAGCGGCAGCAGGGCATAGCCCCCACTCCCGGTGCTACCGCTTCCTGCACCCCGCCCGCATTGGCTGGCAAGTGGCAGAGCCCCTGCTCCCAGTGCTGATGTGGGTGTGGCAGTGCTGGAGCGGGGGCTATGCCATGCTGCTGCCCAGAGCAAGTTGTACCTGCATCGTGCCCTCTCCTTTCCTCCCCCCGCTGGCTGGGCAAGCGGTAGCAGGGCAGAGCCATCCCCACGGCTTTCCCCGCCAGGGCAGAGGCAGGTACAGCCACTGGAGAAGCCCCCATGGCTGCCCTGTCCAGCCCCATCCCCCGCCTGGCCCCAGCCTCTGGCAGTTTAAAAAAAAAAAAAAAGAAGCCCCCTCACCGGCTCTAAACATTTCTGCTCCATTCTGTAACTTAAAAGATCACTTAAACTAAATAGATTTTAAGGGCATTTTTAAGTATTCTGAAAGATTGCTTTTAAAAAGTTACAAAATGTATCATTCTGTAACCTAAACAAGGTGAGGTAGAGTAATTTTTATTTTTATTTAAAAGCAAAAATATTGAGTAAAACCTTTCCAACATGACACTAATGACCTAAAGGTTTTCATAGACTATAGACCGATGTTGTCTTTGTAGTGGGATCATCTTAGCCAGGATGTGTCTCAGCACAGGTGATCTGCATAACTGGCATGTACAAATATCACTGGAGGTATTTTCCTACAGAGTCAGGTCCCTACTGCTCCCAGGCTTCAGGGGGACTGATCCTGAGAGAATAGCCTTGGGTATTGCATCCTGATTTGAGTGAATTCCCAGCACTTATTTCATACTGCCATACCCTGCATCTGCAAGTGGGGTAACTTGCATGGGTACCCTTGCTTGCAGACGTGCATCTTGGTAATCCCGTTGAAGGTTCAGGCCTTTCCTTGCCTGCAGTAGTGCGCTCCAGGAATTCCTCTGCAGGTGCTGAGCGAGGAACCAGACTTCCCTGCTGCTGTTATGCTGCGTCATGGGTGGCCAGGTCTACGGCCACCCTGGGATTGAGCTGCTAACCAGTGTCAGGAGTGAGTAGAGTCTAAGGACAAGTTGGGTCAGGAAGCCAGGGAGGTCAGTCTGAGGGTGGGGTCTAGGAAAACACAGGGAGGTCAGCAGAGTTGGAGAGAGAGAGCTGGATTGAGAAGCCAGGAGTTCAAGAAGAGAGTGGAATCGCAACACAAGCCAGAGGGAGCAGCAAAGCAGTGCAGAATCACGTTGAGCCCTGTTGCCTTTACATTTTTTTGTTCCCCCAGGGCCAGGGGTTTATATGGGGGTCAGCTGACCCTGGCTGGCCACTCCACAGGGTTCCCCACTCTGCAACTGCAGACACAGGCCCTGGGTTGGGGCCAGGCACCTGGGGCTGTTGTCAGTCAGGTTTGAGCACCTGCCCAGGGCTGCTGGAGAATGCAGGCAGCCCTGGGGTGCCTCCACTCGCACCATATGCAATCAGACATCTACTGTGAAAGGATGGCACAAACCATTACTAAAATTATTAATATATATTATCCATATTATTCTTACTACAGTTTTCAATATTCCTAACATGACAGGGGGCATGGGTGTTTGTTTGCTTGGGTTTTGTTCTTCCATTAAAAGTATCATCACAGTTGGCAAAGGAGAACATCTTTACAGCCTTCATGTATAAACTTAGTGGGAAAAGACTTCATTTTAGGTGTGTTTGTTTGGGTTTTTTTGTAGAATGGTTGGACAATTACACTCACTTAGCTTGCCACATACTGTGGTCAGAGGTAGAATAAAATGCTTCTCATAGTCTGTTATTTTTTGTCCTAATTTTTCACCAATCTGTTCCTAGTTTAGGGAATTTTCTGAGGAAATTACCATTTTAAAGTAATTGGTACAGCATTGGTTTACAGAACACAGATTTTGTTTTTTTTATTCAAGCCTTGTGTTCCAATTAGCTTGAATAGATTGTTTTAATTTTAGCATGTCTCTTTTAAGTACATGCAAGATTTCCAGTTTGTTTCCTCACTATGTCAGCAGTGTTCAGCACTTTTGATCATAGTCACAGAGCAATATGAAGGGACCCTGAGAGGTCATCTAGTCCATCCTCCCGACCTGAGGCAGGATCATCCCTATCCAAACCATCCTATACGAATATATTGTTTAGCCCCTTCGCAAAACTACAGTCAACACTGACACAACACAAGACATAACACTTTAGTCTGCCACCAGTAAAGCAGGGAGCTGTATAAACCCTTTTAGTACTTCCTTCAGACACTTAGTCCTTTAAGTATTCACATTTGGTTGATTTTAAACCTTTGGTGGAATTTTTTTTTTAATACACAAAAATTGTCTCATGCAAGTTTAATGCTTCTTACAGTTTTTGATAATTGGTTTATAACAGTGATTCACAATCGGGGTGCCACAGCACCTTGGGGTGCCTTGATCCTTTCAAAGTTGCTCTAGGGGGCAACACAATGCTAGCACTGTTATGCGTGCAGATATAGTTCACAAGATAAACCTAGATATTTGAAATTCCTACTCATAACACTATAAATTCCTATTCAGTGTTAAAAATATTTTAACCTGTATGGTCTTTCTTGAGTTCCTTGTAAAAGAGAAACTGCTGTATTATGTTTCTGTGGTAAAAAGAGTGAAAATTAAGGACTTGTATTTTCCAAGGGGTCCCTCAAGTCTAATGAGGGATGCATTGTGTCTATAAAAGTTGAAAACCATTGGCTTATTTATTCACATAGAAATTACTGTGAAGAATTTGTCCATCCCACATCTAATGGCTTAATTTGCTTTATGACATTTTAAAACCAAAAATCTAACTTTTTCTATTTTTTTTTCTAAAATTATAACTCTAGATATATGACTATTTTCTTCTAGTTATTGACCAACCTGGCAATGGTGTTCCAGCTAACAGCCAGTGGAACATTATATTATTACATGTAATTATTCTGACTACACGGACAAGTCTTTAAAATCATTCAAACTGGTTTTTGCCTTTAGATAAAATATATAGTATAAAAGACTTTTAGTTGGATTTGTGTTTCTGAATTACTAGAGTACTTCTGATAATCTTACCTTTGTGTTTTTTCATTTCCCCCCTACCTATTACACAAGTTAATGAGAAAGCATTTGCTTTAATTTTGAATTACTTGGCTTTTGGCAGTGTTAACTCCATCTTTTAATGTTTAGTACAGTTGTTACTGCACTTATGATTTTTATCTGTCTGTTGATTTGATTTACCATCATGCATAGCAAATGTTTGTAAAAGCCAAAGGCATCATAAAGATACCAGTGCACAAAAGCTGCTACTCACTCATATTGGGCATGGAAAGAAGCTCATTGTATATCCATACTGTGCTAACATTTTGGCATTTTGAAATGTTGCTTAGCTAATTTCCACATTTCATTCTTAGGTTTATTATTTCCGACAAGGTCACGAAGCATACGTTGTAATGGCCAAAAAGAACAAAATATACAGTATTAATCCCAAAAAACAGCCGTGGCATAAAATGGAACTCCGGGTATGGTATTTCTCACTTCTTCCCTCTTGGATGCTCTCATTTAAATAAGTAATATAGAAGAAAATTTATAAAGGTGGTATTTTGCAAAACTTGTCCATACTTTTGGTGAAAAAGCTACTTGTTGTATGTGTATTTAACTCTGGCTTTGATAGTTTAACTAAGAAAAAATATATAATATTTAAATCTTCTGCATCAATCAAGTAAATGTTTAAATGTCAGGATTGTGATGCCTTAAGAATGGGACAAAATATCATAAGCCTGTTTAAAGCCATATATTTCTTTCGATCTGTTTTGATTTTCTTACCAATCAATATGATTTATTTTCACCCTTGCTAGAAAATGCATCACCAACTAACAGGCCACATTTGGAAATCATAACTTCTTATTTCAGGGAATACATTTGAAAATATGTCTGATCAATTTAGCAGAAATTGCAGATGAAATCTGTTGTACTACAAAAATGTATCAACTTTTTTCCATTTCTTAATTCTAGTTGAAGTCCTCTAAAAATCAGTCATCTTAAGTAACCATGTTTTATTTCTTCAGGAGCAAGAACTGATGAAAATAGTTGGAATTAAGTATGAAGTGGGTTTGCCTACTCTCTGCTGCCTTAAACTTGCTTTTCTTGATCCAGATACTGGAAAACTGACTGGAGGATCATTCACAATGAAGTAAGGGAAGCATTATTTCCGTTCAAATAGAGAAACTATTTTTAAGGTGTAATTTCTTAAATATCTGCTAAAGAACAGATATATTCTTTAAAGCAACGTATCTAAAATACTAAATGTTTGCATTCAAATGCATTCTGACATTAAATGGTTTTCCATACTGACTTGCTGGTAAACACTTCTCTACTATTTTGGTTTTAACTAGGTATCATGATATGCCAGATGTTATAGATTTCCTTGTCTTGCGGCAACAGTTTGATGATGCAAAACATAGACGATGGAATATAGGTAGGTGATTGTAAAGTTGTTTAATAATATTATCTGATTCCATGGTGCCTAATTTCATTAGGAAATGTAGTACCATAGATGAATATTTGATATTATACTGAAATTTAAAAATGTCCGTCTAATCCCTTTCTGGCAGCTCCAAGCAATCCCAGCTCTGTGCAGAGGACTGCTTTCTCTCCCAACTCCGCAGCCTCTATTCATCAAATTACATGCTCTAAATTGTCCGTTGCCACCTCTTTCAGAGGAGGCTGTGTTGAGCAGGGTGGTTGGTTGGAGAAAGAAGCAGCCCTTCTGTACAGATCAAGCAGAGACGGGCAGCTTGAGGAGATGGGCCTCCCACAGAGCTGGCCAAGTCACAAGGATGCCTTACTATTAGTATTGCCTACCCCTGTTCTAGAGTAGAAGAACTCTTATCGCCTTGAGGCTGCATCTGGCCTGCAGGCTATATTTTGCCCACCCCTGTTCTAAAGCTTCCAGAGGCCAGAAGGAGGGCAAGGGCAATGAGGGTCACTCCTGTTTGCTAGCTCCATGAATTTTGAACTTCCTGTTCATGCTGCCCAGCACTGAGCGCTCTTAGATGCTCCGTATAACTATTCAGTAAACATTCTTCCTAATAAATGCCCATTCCTGCTTTAAAAACGTCAGTCTGAACACACTTTAGATTTCCTCATCGAAACAGGCATCTCCAAAGAATGAGTGTACTATGAAAACTAGGACGAAATGGAATAAAAATTCCTAGAAGAACTGGACTATGACAGTAGCTATTTGTATTGATGGAACTGTTTTGTATTCTTGTCTAGGTGATCGTTTCAGATCCATAATTGATGATGCTTGGTGGTTTGGAACAATTGAAAGCCAGGAACCTCTTCAGCCTGATTACCCTGATAGTTTGTTTCAGTGTTATAACGTCTGGTTAGCATATTTTTCTTACTTCAGCTTTTAATACATTTTCTATTTAAAATTGAGATCTTGTATGCCAATCCTGATTAAAAGTGATTTTAGTTATTTAGATCTATTCACATGTGTATTTCTTAACATTATAATATTGTTTTATAAAATAAACCAATTAGCTGTAGTTGTAACTATATAATTTAACATTTATAAAGTGTTTATAGGTGCGTTAGAAATATTAAAACTAATTTGAACTGGGTTATTTTTTTCTTTAAGCTGGGACAATGGTGACACTGAGAAGATGAGTCCTTGGGATATGGAGCTTATACCGAATAATGGTATGTGCATCTGTAGATTTCTTAATTTACTTCAAAGTACAGAGAGAGGGAACATGCCTTTTTGGAAATGCTTTTTGATCAATTTGCTCAAGTTCTGCAGAGAGCTAAGAATAAACAAGTATTGCAAAACAGTCTCAGTAAAAATTCATGGTTAAATTCAAATGAGTTATTAAACTACAAATACATTTTTTTAAATAAATAGACTTGAGACTAGATTAACAGGAAATACAGTCTTATTCAGTCTGTCTAACAGATGAAAATCTTGAAGGAATTCTCAGCAGCTCTTGTCCTTTCACTTTTTCCAAAGGTTGCTGAGGATGAACATGTTTTCTCATGGGTTCTCTGGAAATTGAGTTCCTTGAGACTTACTGCTGTCGTTGCCAATGCACTTCCTCATTTTATAGGCACAAATATTTAGGGTCAGTTGGCAATGGTTGGGCTTGCTCCATTATTCTTAAGAATTTTGAGAAAGCCTACCAGCAGTATTTCTTTTGTCCATATTTGTGCGCGCTTTCTTTTTTAATTTGATAAAAAATGAGATTGGTGTATATATCTGAGTTAGCCTTCCTGAAACTTTTTTCTTTTCTACCTACACTTAATAGGTATGATGCTATTGTATGTATTATATTAAAATAAATTGCTATTTTAATATTTTCATCTAATCGTTCAGTTTTAAAACTTGAAATACTTTCTGCAGGCCCTCGATACTTCTTAAAATAATTAAAAATATGGTAACACAAAAATTAAAATTGGCAGAATATCTAATGATCAAAACGAAAAGAACCACCAAATAAGTGTCGGACCTAAATGCACCAAGAACACTTTATTGTATCCCTGATACTCATCCTTTTTGTACCTTCCCTCCCTGTAACTTTCGTTAGAGAGACTTTTCAGCATATCATGAAAAGCAACAGATTCTAGCTATGTTGAGGGAATTTATTCTAAAACTGAGAAGCCCTTCAAGAGGATGTTTAGTGGCTGCTCATCTCTTTCACTTTCACTTTGTGTAACTGCAACAATACAGAAGAATGCAGAAGACAGTCTTAAAAACAGGAGTTTCAGGAGACATCTGTAGAGCAAAACTAACACCTTCAGTTCTTTCTGGAAGTTTGTAACTATGGAACTACCTTTGTTTCTTTGCAAAAACAAGTTCTCCAACAAACTGCTTGGAAATGTATAAAGCTGCACTGTGTGATTTTAAATTAACAGACAAAAATATACAGAAAAGAATGTACCCTATTTAACAAATCCAAGAGAACTTCTGAATTTTGCACGTATAGAATCGTATTGGAGGAGGTCTTAAATTCTTGCTCCCCTCTACTGCAGCAAGGGAGCAAGCAATGGGGAGGCAAGCATCCTGACTCATGGTCCTCTGCCTCCCTCCCCTTCCCATGCCACTTGCCTCTCCCATATCACTTGCTTGCTGATAGCTGCCACCCTGCTGCCTGTCCCCCCTGCCACTTGTTCCTCCCCCTCCAATTCCTACTACCCCATATGTTCCCTAGTGCCTGTATCACCTGCTGCTGCTTGCCCTGTGTGGTGACTCTAGCCCTGGCCAGGCAGCAGCCCTGATCCCAGTCCGGGTCAGGGCTAGAGCTGCAGCAGCTCTCCTGCTGTTGTGTGGTCTCTATCCTCTGCCCCCCTCCCCCATGTACCACAAACTCTCCCCCCAGCTCTAGGAAAAAAAGATAAAGTTTTGTTTCCCCCATGTTGAGCGTGGGGATCGCACCTCATTTTGGATTTGAATAAATATGGAAAATAGCATCAGAACTGCAATGAATGTTTTGTTTGCTTTAGAATAAACTAAGAACTAATTATTTCAGTTTGTTTATTGGAACAGTGTTATCCTATGCATTCGGTATTATTATTTACTTTTGGATTAATAGCTGTATGTAATATTTACCATATAAGAAGTTAAGTGTTTTCAATAGTCTGTTTTGTGGGGGGCATTTATTGTTCTGTTTTAGCTGTGTTTCCTGAAGAACTGGGTACTAGCGTTCCTTTAACTGAAGGTGAACGCAGAGCATTAATCTACAAACCTCTGGATGGAGAATGGGGTTCCAGGACCAGAGATGAAGAATGTGAGAGAATTATTTCAGGGATAAACCAGCTCATGACTCTAGGTAAGCATTTGTTACTTAATTTATAGAAGTGATATATAGTAGGGGATATAATGCTGTGCACTTTTTTAGGACACAATGCACAAAATCATGAAATGTCATTGATCAAATGCAGTAGTCATACACTAGCTTTTTATTACTTGATAAAGAAGAAAATGGTTTGTTTTAAAGCATGATATATGTGCATAGTAAATGCCATTAATATAGTCTGGCCCATATCTTCAAATCTGAAGTGATATTTTTACTTTTTAAAGTTTTTTAATGTGTAACTTGAGTCTTGAAAGAGACTTAATTTTTAGAAAGTATTAAACACCGAGTTCCTTTTTATAATATCTCCAGTATCTTTTGTAAAGGTTGAGAATACAAGCCTCTATATGAAAAACTAAACTAAAAAAAGTTAAACTGTACTACAAACAAATATAAAAAGGTATGTTTGGTTTTCCTGCAGAATGTTGTAGTGGATACATTTTACATAGGTTTTCTTCCCTGACTAAGCTGCTATGTGCTGCAGTCCCAGGAAAAAAAGATATCTCCAAGAGGGAGAGAAATCTCTCTCAAAGAAAAATGCTGAGACTATGCAGGCTGAGTAATTCATTGATTGATTAAATTCGTGGTGAACCATTTGATAATCAGTTACAGAAAAAATTGCTGTTGTGTTGGCAGCTTCTGAAAATGCGTTATTATAAGTTGTTGTAATATAATTGTTAATTCTTTTATTACTAATCAAAGACCGAGACATATCATGTATCAGTGCAGAAAAAGCAAGGAAATACCAAATTTTGATATACCTTTATACAGCATGTTTCCTTTGGTGACACATTGCATCTTTATAAGAAGCTTCTTTCTGCTTCCAATAAATAAGAAAATGCACTACACAAATATTAATTATAACCTCAAGGACATTAGCAAGCATATGTTTAGCACTGATGCATGTAGTGTGCTGTGTGTTTCTAGTGGAAATAGGTTTTTAATTAAGGTTTTCACTCCTGTATATCTGTAACAAGTGCTATAAATGACCTCACTAAACCTGTCTATAATAATGCCCCATTTAATAATACTAAGGACTGGCCAGTTTGAGGTACAGCCACACTTCTTTTGTTGTGATGGTTTACAAGCTGCTGAATTTTCAGGAAGTTGCCAAACTAAGTATGAGCTACTTAGCCAGTTGCTGCAGCTTTCACTCCACTCAGCTGGAACACTCCCAGCTGGTTGGAGAAGCAGTGCCTTTTAAAATAAATGCTACAGAAAATAGGTGGAGCACTTCAGGCAGTCTTATGTGGTTGTTTGCTGTGGCCCTTAATACTTTCCAAGCCCTCATGTTTGCAGGGAGCTAAGGAAATAACTCTATGAAGAATCCAGGTTCTGCTTTATCCTACTGTCTTAAAAGCTGAGGTTCCTTACAACCTAATTATTGTAACAATCTAAAGAATTGCTTTTCACAAACCATGAGGCCGAAGGAGTTGTAATATTAAGATGTCACTACTTTAGGAAAGCATAGTTTCATTCAAATGTACCAGTTAATATTCTAGAATTACATATTTTGAATTATATAAATTACGTATTTGTATTTATAGCCAGAAATAATTTTGGTTTTGAATACGTAAGGCTGAGTGTCATGTTTCATACACAACAGGATCACTGATTAATTACTGTAGTAATTATGCTAATGGCATATGCTACATCATGCACTCTTGTATATGAATTGCCACTAAGCTTTTTAATATATAATATAGGTGTCCATTTTTATATTTGTTCTGTGCTTTGTATAAAGCTTTAAAGAGTATTGTGTATGTGGGGAAAATGTAAAAGTTATAAGGGATTACTAAAGGGCTACTTCTGCATAATATGAATTTGATTTTTCATTTCTGTTTAGATATTGCTTCTCCATTTGTGGCACCTGTGGACCTCCAAGCTTACCCCATGTATTGCACTGTTGTGGCATATCCCACAGATCTCAGTACAATTAAACAAAGACTGGAAAGCAGATTTTACAGGTTAGAACAACATTTCATTTGTTTTTATTAAGTACTGCCAAATCAGTTTGACCTTTAATAGGCTATCTGACCAAGAGTTTGAAATAGTGGGGTAGTTTCCAGTGATTTACTCATCTATGCTTGGTCTTGTTCAGATGTTAAATTCAGAATTTATATTATTCAGCTCTGTGATCCCAAAGTTGGCTTCATGGGGTTGTGGACTAAATTTCAGAATCAAGGTTTGGGTCTGTATAGGGATTATGTTCTTAAAGGTCACAAACAAGTGGCTCATTTTTACTAGTAAGAATTTCAGAGAAATTGTTGCTGGTAGAAAAATAGCCCAGGAGCAGGAGTGTACATGTATTACAGGCCCCTGGCTGGATACCTATCCAGCTAAAGGGCATGAGAGAGGACTGCTCCCTGGGCCACCCCCACCATTAAGGAAGCCTAGTACTTGATAGCCTACCCTTTCCCCTGCTTGGGAAGGGGGTAAACTGTCAAGAGGCAGCCCCTTGGCTTTTAAATCACCTGTGTGCTGCCCAGGTGGGCAGCCCATGCACAGAGACCTACTTAATTTGCAGTCTTGCAGATTTTGCGGAAACCATGAAATCCAGGATTGTCCACGAAATCTGTGAAATCAACCAATTAAAAAAAAAAAAAATGAAATGCTGGTGCCTCAGTGGGAACCAGCAGTCCTCACTGTTGGGAGGGGAAGGAACTGGCTGAGGGGTGCAGCATGAAGGGCAACAGGCAAGATGGTGGCTGCCCCGTGGTCTTCCGTGGCCCCCCGCCCCCGGCCTTCCCTCCAATCAGCGCTAGGGGTCGGGCTGCCATGAAATACCTGCAAAATCAGCTCTGCCCTCCATGAGCAGGCTGCAAAAAAACCTTTGTCTCTGTGATTTAAATAGTTCCCTACCCATGCAGCATTTAAAGCATGTATGGCTGGGAACTGGGGTGGAGAGAGCTTTCCCAGCCCAGGATTCCAGCACTGAGGGTTCTGAAAGTGTTGTGTGGCACTCTCAAAGCCTGCGGACCTGGAAACCACAGGAGGGAGAGCTCTCTCTACCACAGTTCCTGGGCCTGGGAGCTTTAAATGCTGCCTGCAGAAGGGGCAAACCATCTGCTTGCTCTTCAGGACCCTAGTCTGGGGAGCAGGTAGAGGGCTTTTACCTGGTGCTTCAGTTCTGCCCCAGACTGGTCCAGGAGGCAAGAGGAGCAGTGGGGCAAAGCCCCCAGCCCTTTCCGTAAACCAGTTAGTCCCTACTCTAGGGAAGATGCTGCTTCGCACCCTTCCCAAACCAGGTAGGAAGGGGAGCATACAAGCATCCATTCTTGCGAGAGTTTCTCTTGCAAGAGAAATTTTCCAGGTTGGCACCTGGAAGATCTTTCTCCTGGAGGGGGCAAGTTTCCCCATGAAGAAACTGAATGAGTTCTGTATGCTTGTTATTTCTACTGGGAGAACAGCAATTCTTCCAGTGGCTTGAACTTGGCTAAAATTTACCTGGAAAACTGAAAAGACTGTCTAGTGTTTTTTCAGAAGATATATATTCTACATATTTTTTCAGTTTATCCTTTCCTTTATTGTTGCACTATTTTCATTTACTTATTTAGCAGTTTGATGTTAAAAAGACATTTAGATTTCTATAAAAAATGCTGAGTTAAGACACCATTTCATGATATTGATACTTTTTTTGTACTCTGTTTTAACTTGTTGGCACAGTTTTCATAAATGACAACTGTAGCCACTATATTTTCTTTAACATTCTAGCATTTAATTATCTAAGATGAAATAGTGTTGTATTAAAGCATTTTGTGGCAGATTTTGTTTTCCTTGATTTATAGAAGATAACTGCTTTGGGAATTCATTTCCCTTAATGCACACTTTCAGATGTTTCTGAGTGAAAATGTGCTTACAGCATGTTGTCTTTTTGTTTGGGCCAAATCTGAAAATTAGCATGTAATGTTTCTTGCATACTAATCTCTGAATGTGGCACTATTCAAATATGACATTTTTTTTCTTTCTGGCAAAAAAAGTCAGACGCTTTCAGGCAACATAAGTGTTCAGTGTTTATGCATCTTTCTTTCTCTCCGTTTGCTTGTTGTCTATTTTTAGTGGAAACATTTGAAATGCTATTTTAATTTTGGAATATACTTTAAAAAAATTAATATTTTTATTAAAGTTCAGATTCTGCTTGGGACATGTTAGCAGTCTTTGAAAATGAGATTTTAAATTTAAATATAACATATTTATGTTTATGTTAAAAAGTATCCTGCTTCCTTTCTATTTCTAGTGCTATGGTCAAACAAGCACATGGAAGTGGCACTTCTAATATGCATTTCTTAACTTTAGGGAAAAAATCCAAAAGGTGTAGGGTATGCTTGGATTTCTTTTTTTCATTGCACTTTGTAAGAGGAAAATAAATGAAAGTTCATGGCTACCTTCAGTTTCCTATACCTTATGGCCCACGGGCTGGATCCAGCCTGTAGATGCATCAGCTCTAGCTCACTGAGCACAGGGGCTTCAGGAGTGGGTCTCTGCTTGTGCCATGCCACAGCTGGGCAGCGGGGAGAAGCACCAGAAGCCAGGTTCTAGTGCTGGCCCAACTTGGACCCAGTTTGGTCATTCTGACCTGCTGCCGAAAAATGTTGTTGACCCCGGTCCTGTCCTGTTTTTTAATGATTTTTGTTTAAAATGTAAGGGATCATTTTTAACAGTTGGACAATTTTATTTTTTTTTACATTTTAATACTTTAAACATTTTTTTACGTGTTTTGTACTTTTAATTTATCTCCTTTTTCTTTGAACGTGAGTTTGCTGTTGATCTATAATTTGTGGGGCAGAACTGTACAGTGGGGTGAAAGAGAGATTTCTAGCAGTTGCGCTAAGATTCTCTCAATGGAAAAAACAAAAAAAAATTCTTTAGTTTCTCCTTATTAGTAAGATTTATTGTGGGGAAAGGTGTCAGGATCAGTAAAAACTATTGGCAGCCAGATGAACTGTTCAAGGAGCACGAGAAATAATTTATTTTTGAGTCACGCCATGATTGACAGCAACAAGGCTCTCAAAACTTTTCATCCCTATTTCTTATCAAGACACAGGTAAGCAGGAAGCCAGAGAAAGCTGCCTGCTGCTGACAAGGTAGGGAGCTATCAAAGAGCGTAAAACATTTACATAAAACCAAAAAAAGTTTTGTTGTTCTTTTTGAGACTGCTTGGAAAGAAAAGTGAGGATTATTTTTAATGTAATCTTTATTTTATAAATGTAACTGTTCAATGTCATCTATTCTATTTTCCTCAAAGGCGGGTTTCTTCACTTATGTGGGAAGTCCGGTACATAGAGCATAATACACGAACATTCAATGAACCTGGAAGTCCTATTGTTAAATCTGCCAAATTCGTCACGGATCTTCTGCTACACTTCATAAAGTGAGTAGATTACCAGATGTAATGTCTTCAGTCTGTCTTCTAGTAGATTCAAATATAGTAGATCATTTTACCTGTTGATGAGAGCCTGCCATTTGCTTTAGCAAAGGATAGAAGTACACAACATCCAGAGAGGGGAACCTCGAGGCATTTTTAAAGAAAAGTAAATTACTTATAAAATGGAGTATAATAAACAGTATCAGTTTGAAAAACAAAATATTCAGTATATTACTTTTCATAGTTCAAAATCTAGAAACTTCATAATGGAAGGTTAATGTAATGAATTTTGTGGTTTAGAAATGATAGTCTTGTTATAGTCTGAAACATAATTTCTGGGAGTTTTAAGGAAAGGAGAATGCATTTCTTGCCACAGTGACTTTGATTTTATAGTTGTCACTTACTGCATGAGCTTTCTGTCCAATGATAGATATAAATTTGGGTGGAATGTACATGAAGCATAGGACAGCAGCATATGTTTAAATAAAGTTGTTTAGTGTCAGGATTTCATACCATGTTAATGACAAAATAATTATGGGAATTTTCATTTAAAAATTTTTCCAGTTATCATAAGTTGATTAAAAAGTGGTCTCCTTTGTGTGCCATAAATTGTTGAGGCTTTAAAAAGTTTTCATCTTCATTATTAACAAAATTGTACATTACATTTCTTGAAAAACTTTTTTATGGGGAACATTTTCTATTCCCCTCCTCCCCAATCTTTTCTATCTTAGGTTTAAAAAAAATGGGAAGGGGAACATTTTAAAAGGGTATTTTTTTCCTTTATAAAACTATGGAAAACTTTTGTTTTGGTCAAGACATGTATCTTTCACAAAGATGTTAGTTATCTTTAGGCCTTTGGCATACATTACGTTCATAGTGTGATTAATGCATTAATCATACAATAATGTGGAACAACTTTATGGCTGGTGTGTATTGTGCTTAATGTTGAACTTGTGCCCCATAAGTATCCAGGAATAGCCCATGTGTAGCTCAGCTTCATTAGCATCATTTGAACTTGTCAGTTTTTGGGGAACTGGTACGTTCAAAGTGCAGTTGTGCCACTAGGCTGCGGTAAGCCTAGTGGCACCAGAGAGCTTGAGATTTGGGGAACCTCTGAATTCAGGCTCACACTACCCTGGGGCATTAACAAAGCAGGTGTGCACAGTGGCTCTCTCCTGTGTCAGAATCATGATTCCTGGAGACCTTAACAAAGAGTGCATGCAGGAACTGATTCACCTGCATCTGGCTACACAGTTTGCCTTTCAAGCTGCCTGGAGGTGGGGAGCATGGCATCAGGGACCAGATATCTGTTAGGCTCCCAGCACTGGCAGTTGCTTGCCATCTGCTGGCTGCCTTAGTTACTGCTTTTCCCATAAAACTACTTGTAAAATGCAACTTCTCAACCTATCTTTTCTGTGGGAAAATCAAAGAAACACTGGTTTTCACTTTCAGTTTTGTTCAGATAACCCACTTTGTGTTTAAAACAAGTTAAACTTGTGATACATGTGGTGGAAATAATGTTACAGTAAGCATATACACTGTGTTCATTTCTTTATGGATTGTAGTCAGTTTGTTTGAATACAGTTATCCAAATCAGTGATCACCAACCTTTTTAGATTTGGGGCAGAGATGGGAAGATGGGCACTTGGATCCAACTGCTGCCACTGCTTTTCCCCATGGCAACATGGTGAGAGCAGCCACCACTACTGCTTTTCCCTGCTGTGGCATGGGAAAACAACTGCTGCCAATGCCCCCTGATGCTGAATGCCTCCAGATGTAGCCTGCAAGCCACAGGTTGCCACGCCCTGATCTAGACATTTGGATAAAACTCTCATTGGACTCTTCGTCCCCTGTTAATTCTGCCCTCTCTGCTGGTCTTCCATGAAAGATGCTTTTTAAAGATAGCAGATTTCAGTCCTTTTGACTTTTTATGCTGGGTATAATTTTCCCAAATTTCATGTGATCAGCTTAGCATGCTAAATGCATAATATGCGTATGCTGGAACCAGGACCCTCACAATAAAAAAGTCTTTATACAAAATGCATCCTTCTAGTATCCTTTATTAGAGGCTGGGAATAAGTGTCTGTCAGCATTTTATTTAGACCTTTTACTGATAATGCTGGAAGCCATGTAGCTTAGTCAGTAGGGTGACTGACTTGCTTAGGAACTGAAGGACCTGGGTTTGATTCAAGGTGAGGGGGGTGGGTTTCTACTCAGTTTTTCATTTTTAGTACTAAAATAATTTTAGTATGGTCGTGAGGCCCAACCAGCCTCTTATTCAGTGGGTACCAGGAGCTACCCGAGTATAAAGCAGCCGGAGCATGATGCTGATCACATTACCTCTTCCTTGTGCTGAGGGTAAAGAAAAACTGGAGCCCTCCCAATGGTCTGTAAATGGGATACCTTTATGGTAATATTATATTGCGAGTCAGTTGTTAATACATAACATTTAACAAGAAATCACAAAAGCAAGAAATGGTTTTGTCATCCATTCTCCACACCTGTTACAGTCTCCTTTCATGGATGCAGAGAATAGCAGTGAGGAAAAAAGCTCCTCATCTTAAACTTGCATAGAAGGAAACCTCATTAAATATATTGTCCATCATTAAACTACTGGCAAAAGCAGCATGTGCACAGTAGTGGAAAACAACTATGAAGTTGATGAAATGCACTTGAGCATGACTCTTAAACACATGGTCCATGTTGAGCACATTTGGGGTGGGGCTAAAAAAACAACAACAAAGGGTTGGTGTTCCATCCCTAGAGAACTGCGGGTAGGCCTGGAGGTACTGCAATAGCAGGCCAGCCCTAGGTGGGTCAGAGCTAGCCCTGACACCCTCCCGTTTGTTCCAAAAATGCTTGATCATAGCCCAAAAGACTAAAATGCTGATGGGAGCCTACTACAAAGATAGATTAATAGAACTCATCTGAATAAGACATATAGTAATGCCTGTTACGCACAGTCCCCCTCAGCACTGACACTTCAGGTCATAGTGAGCCACTACATTGAATACATCTTGACTTCCTCTTCACTCCCACATCTGAGCTGCAACTTTTTTCCCATTTCCAACGATTCCTTTTTTCTTCACCAGCCTCAGATGTCTGGCAGACATCACCAAGTATGGCTGCAGAGAGTGCACACAGACTCCCTTTGTCACCCTTCTCTCATGTTGTACATGATTAGTGTGACCCCATACTTCATGAGGTGAAGGTGGGGACTTATGACAAGAACATCCTGTTCCAGTCATGAGTGGGAGGCTAATTAGCATGTAGTTCCTTTGTGGGGCTTTCTAGAGTGCACGCATATACTGAGTAGTGAGCTATGGGGTCACCATGGCTTGAAATACTTGTTGACTTTCCTGGGGTCCAGCCCAGTGAACTGTATGGTAAATCATGAGCCTTTGGCTTTGGACTAATATCATACATATGTAAATAGGTATAAAAATGCGCCTTAAAAGTGTGTTTATGGCATACCTGTGCTAATACTTGCAGTGGTTTCAAAATAGGTAAAATGCATAAATTCTGAAATCTAAGTCTATGGGGGAGAGAGGTGTGACCCTCAACAGGTCACCAAAACTCATAAGTGGCCCACCAGCCCGAATAATTGCCCACCCCTGCTTTAGAACTAAAGTGTATGGCATTTAGGCCAACATAAAATGTATGGCACAAATTCAGTTTTAAGAATGGGTATAGGTCTGAGAATGATTTGCCTGTGTTGCTTTTTTAAAATCTGTTTTCTTTGGTCAAAATAGATGCAAGTAGCACTGGTCTGACCTAGAAATGTTTCGTTTAATTATATCAGTTAAGAAAAACCTGTGCAACAGACTGGGTGGATGCTTATTTTAATAGCAGCCTCTATCATTTTAGCCTGAGTCTATCAAAATATACATTTAATTAAATCATCGTAACTTGTGTGTGTGCATAGACAAGACTTATACTTTTATGTATAACATAAACTCACATTAACATGATATTTCTTGTCCTACAGAGACCAGACTTGTTATGCTATAATTCCTTTATATAATACAATGAAGAAGAAAGTATTGTCTGACTCTGATGAGGTAAGCCAACTGAATGCTACGTATATGTAAAAGTAATCTCAATGGTCTGGTGCTGTGCTTGCACTCATTTATGCAAGAAGAAGGAATTGAGTTTTAATCTCTTCCCACTTCTGTACTGCAAAGGCAGCATGTTTAGCCCATTGCAAGAGGGTAAGGGAATGTTTTACATCAATTAGCAGTATTCCTTTTAGCCAGTTGAGGAACACTGCTTGTAATTCCCCCTTGTATGGAGAGCTTTAGTGCTACTTAAATTTAAGTGGAACATGGACATTGTGCTAACCATTTGCAGAGCGGTGAATTTCACTCTATTTACAAACTCTTAAGTCCAAGCCTGCTAAAAAAAATATATCGATCTGTATATATGGCTATCATATTTTAGGAATTTGAGAGTTGGGGAAGAAAAGGTCACAAAAACAGGAAGATTCTTGGGACTATCATTCAGAGCACTGCAAAGAACTGAAAATATGAATGGTAGTTTATTAAGTAACTTTTTCAAAAGTGTTTTGTTAGATTTGTTATGCGACTCATATTTTCTTGCTCAAAGGAAGAAGAGAAAGATACAAATGTTCCAGGAACTTCCACTAGGAAAAGAAAGGTAATACTTGGTTGCACTTGCATCCATGATTTATAGTGTAACAGCTTTCAAAAATTATCCAAAACAGCTTAGAAATAGAAACCGTTTTAGGCTGGTATAATCCTGTCTTTGAAGATTGTGTGTTTTTGCTTGGAAATCAGTTTTTAACAGTAGGTATTTTTTTCTTTCATCTGTTATGCAATAGCATTTTTACCTGTTCCATTGTGTGTGGGATGGGGGTGAGTTAGGATTCACAATTCACTGTGCTTGCATGTAATAATTGTATTCTTTGATTTGTATTTTAAAAAATCGACTTGTGTAAACAAATCAGTATGGTCATTTCAGGATCATCAGCCCAAACGGAGGCTGCGCAATAGAGCTCAGTCATATGACGTTCAGGCATGGAAGAGACAATGCCAGGAGTTGCTGAATCTCATTTTTCAGTGCGAGGACTCTGAACCTTTTCGCCAACCAGTGGATCTCCTTGAATATCCAGTGAGTATTTTAATAATGGAAAAAAGCTGGTCAGTGTTTGTATATTTTGACTGATTTGGAGGAGAGGGGGCTTCTTTGGAGTTTCATATTTTTTCAACAATATTCATCGAGATTGTCTAAATAATTTGTCTAATAATAGTTCAGAACCTGTGCTCTTTTGAACTGAATGATATAAACTGATGCACAGTAACAGAAGATCAGTACTTGATTTTGCTTGTAGTTATATCTAGATTAGACTAAAACCAAAAATTAATTAGTATTTTTCCACATGATTACTCTGATTACAGGCCTGTTTGGTTATGAGAGTTAAGGTAGCTGTATACTTTCCATTGAGACCCTATTTCTAGTTCTTTATAAGTTAGATGACCTTGCTTTTAGGAGTGAGAATTTTCCAGATCAGGTTTCTTTTAGTATTGCATGTGCTTTTTCCTGTCTTCATGAAATGCCATCCAAATTTGTCCAAGTTTATATGTTCTGAAACCACGGCTTGCATACGTTCGGTAGAAATTTTAGAGCCTGGCAGCAGTATTCTATGAAGATACCATCTACAGTGAACATGCTCTGCTTAGAGCAGCGAGTATGTTTCATCTCATTATTTCAAGGCACTGGTTCTCAACCCTCTTAGATGTGAGGCAGACCTTTGTAACTTTTGTGAATTGACCAGCACCCCATTTCAAAAACTAATTTATTACGGTCCTTACCTGCTAAAAGAAGGGCTGGGAAGGAGGAGCAGCAGCTGGCAGAGAAGAGCCTGTACTGCAATAAGTTGGAGGGAGATGGAGGTGCAACAGAAGGGAAGAACCTGCATTATCCTTCTTATCTCCTCTCTCCCAGCAGCACCCTTTAAAGCCTCTTAGCAAAGAGCAGGACTTGTTATATATTTGTTCCTCTACCATTCTCGAAGCTACTGTATCTCGGACACTGGAACAAAGAGCCAGGGAGATGGTATCTTGTGCTATGACTGCTTCCAGTGCTGGAGTTCAATAAAGAGGTGTGAAGGAGAAATCGGGTGGCTTTACTTCAGTGTATTTGGGGAAAGTGTCAAGAGACAGGCACTGACTTAGAGTATGTGGAGGGAGAGGCACTCAACAGTCTATAATGGCTAAATTGTATGTTCCTCCGGACCCTAGAATTGGACCTGTTATTCCTGACTGCCATATTTTTCCTGTCAGCACGTAACTATAAAATCTGTTAGTGTCATGTTTCATTCCATTCTAATAGGGGCTACACAGAGGACAGGTTGCTACTACTGTCATGACACAATTGATTTCAAGTGGTAGAGCTCTTTTTGCTGTGGATTAAAAGGACCTAACTCTTCTGCTGATGTGTGTGAACAATGTGGGGAAAACAAAATATTGTTAGTCTGTTGTATGCTGTGTGCTAGCATCATCTTCTATATGATCCTAAGCTATTACTATATAATTTTATTTTGGAATTTTAGGCCTGTTACTCTCTTTTTTTTAAGCAGCTGTATTAAACTTAGCGTTGAGCTGTCGAAGGTGGGGCACTACCTTTATCTCTTCAGACTGAAATTTTATTAAAAATACAGACTTTCTACTGAAGTGGTTTATTTTTCAAATGGGTCTGAGTTTGTATTGGCTAACTTTAAAATGCTCAGGTTCTTAGTTTAACTCTGCCAGTGGTAGCCTGCCTCATGACTTGGAAAAAGCAGTATTTCTATAGAATAGTTATGGGAAGCTTTTTTTTTGTGGTCTTCTATCCAAACTTGAGAGAGAATTTTGATAAACCCTTTATAAGTGACAGATAATCATGTCTTGATGGGTGAGAAGTATTTGGACAAATAAAATTAATTTCAATTACATGTTGATTTGCCAATTTTTTTTAATAGGATTATAGAGACATTATTGACACACCAATGGATTTTGCTACAGTTAGAGAAACTCTGGAGGCTGGCAATTATGAGTCACCAATGGAATTATGTAAAGATGTGAGACTTATTTTCAGCAACTCCAAAGCTTACACGCCAAGCAAAAGATCAAGGGTATGGATTTATAGTTCACGCCACTAAAAAATTCTTTCTTTAATAGAGAATATGTAAACCTTAGACATAAACAAAGGAGAACTTATTTTTGTTTAAGATCAAATATCAAAACAACATTGGGCTATTTGGAAATATCAATAATTTAAATGCTTTGTATGCTCTTCCAACATGAATATTGTTTCTAATGACAAAACAAATTCCTTATGAATAAATGGAGACCTTTTTATTAAGAGTGGGCCACCCCTTGTGAACAGACCATCACAATGGGTAGCTGATCCCCAGTGGTTATTCCAATCATATGTGATCCATGCTAAGAGCTGCTCTCTCGCCTCCCTGTTATAGCCTATGTTCACCATTGCCAACAGAAACCGTAGTAAGCAAGGATTTGAAACAGCTAATTTGATAGTGATGGTAAGCACAGGTGGTGGCCTGCAGGGGTGGGGGGAGAATGGTGAGAGAGAAGGCCCTTTGCATGGAGCAGGAACAGCTGGAGCCTAGAGTGGCAGCCAGGATCAGTCAGCCAGTAGTAAAATGTGGGCTGGATTGGGTAGAAGAGGATCAGCCAGACGTTCTTAAGACACAGGCCTGATCCAGCCTACAGGCTGTTTTGAAGTTGTCTTCTGCAACTTTCTTGAATTTTAAATTGATACTTCTGAGGTGTAGTTTAAATAGATAACTTTTTGACAACAGAGTCGAAAAGTGTTGAAGGAGTGATTGGACAGATGGTAACAATAAATATTTTATGCAAAGTATAACTATTTGTGAGAGGATAATACTTGAGTCTCAAACTCCTCACTCTTAGAGTTCCATAAATCTCAGGATATTAAAATGGCTAGATTACAAAGGGATAATGGCGTTCTGTGATGTTTACTGGTTTGCACTGAGATTGAGGAGACTCTCAATTGTCCTTGCAAATCCTGTTATTTCTTTTCATCTGCCAGTTTATTTTGAAACAGTTGGCCACACATTATTAGCTTTTTTGTTAATTTCCTTTAGTTTTTGGGATTCTTTTCTGGTTTAAAGAGTCCTGTGGAAGTAATTGCTGCACATAAATGTATTACTGTTCCAGGGATAGTCTTTTCTTCTGGTACTAGAAGACAAGTGTAAATAACCAATAAGGAGTTCAGGTTGGTATGCTGTGTGTGGCTACTGATGCAAATGGTGAATGCACCATCAAGTTTTTACTTTGACTCTTGTCCCAGCATGTAGGCAACAAGGTTCTTAGGAGAGAACCTCAGTTAAAAGAACTGAGGTCAGCGTGATTGGTCTGTTTCAGTCAATATTGGGTAATCTGTTCAGCATTTGGAATGATTTTGAAATTGTTCTCTCTGCCCTTGCCAACACCAGGTGTCAGGACTTCTCAGACTTTGGGACTGGGATTCCTTTGTGTTCTCTTCTTCTCTGCTTCAGGTCTTCTCAGATTGGAAAGAGCACATGGTTGATGCTATCGTGGCTTAAGCCATGGACTCACCAATTGTGCAACTTAAATATCTTGCTTTGGAAACCATTTATTTTATCAGTCATATTAATTTGTATCTTCTAAAGGCACTGAAATCATGCTGAAACCAATACCTGTTTACAATTTGAACTTCTAATTGAAATGTAGATTTCTAGCTTCAGTGATTCTGAAGCTATCGGCAAAAATAATATTCTAGGTTCTTTAGAGAGCTCAATGGACTCTCTAAGTATATACACTGAAGTAGAAATGATCTTCAGTCTGGTTCTAGACATTCGTTGGTGTTGGTGTCAATATTCCTCATTTTGGCTTGCTTGTTCTTTTCTCTGAAAATAGGGTGACAGCTACTACTGTCTACCCCCCATGAGATCAAACTTAAGTTTTTTTCCATTTATATGGCACTTTCTTATGAGTAAAAAAAAATTTAAAAATGTTCAAGCGATTTAGATACTATCACATTTATTGCTGTTGTGTCTTAGTGCCAGACTACCAGATCCCTTAAATGAAGTGGCCCCACTGTTACACTCCAATCACTTGTCATCTTCCAAGGGGGGGTTTACCTCCTATTATATTAATTTAGCCAGTCCATTTGTCATTTTGTTTTTTTCCTAGAACTGTGGTGCACCTGTAATCCAGTTAATTGGATATGAGAAAAACTCATCCAGGCCCATTCAGCTGAGGGCAAAGCTTAAAAAAAATCTGAAGTTTATAGGTACATGGATAGTTGTCATCCGTTTAAGTAGCTAGCCTTATCTCCTTTTTGGAGATATCTCATCTTCTTTTTTTTTTTTTTTATCTTCTTTTTTGGAGATATCTCATCTTCTTCTTTCTGCCACTGTATTTGTCTTCACAGGATTATGGCCCACTTTTTCTATGAACTGCTTTGATGGTTCCAAAGCTAGACTCCCAAGAGTGCAGATTTGTGGACTCCTCTTGTAAATTTCCTTTCATTTATTTCATTTAGAAGCTGAAACATTTCTATATTAAAGTGTATGTCTTTCTATATAGATATAACTCTAGGTAGGTAATTAGGAAAACAGTGTTTCTGGAAAAAATGTAAACCTTAACAAACAAACAAAACAAACCCCTTTTTTGTCTTGTTCACTTATACCCTGCATTGGCTTTTTTTTAATAGATTTACAGCATGAGTTTGCGCCTTTCTGCTTTCTTTGAGGAACATATAAGTTCTATTTTATCAGATTATAAATCTGCTGTGCGTTTTCATAAAAGAAGTTCATTAAAGAAACGGAGGAAAAAAAGAAGCAGAAGCAGCTCCGTGTCCAGTAGCGTTGCATCAAGGTACATTCATTTCTGTGTGCTATGAAATGCTCTGTTTGAAATATAATAGTAGAACTTGGTGTGGTGTTCTTTAATACTCCTTCGCTATTCCCTATATTGCAGAATCATATATTTAACATGCAAGTTCCTATGATGTGGAAGATTTTTAAACTTTAACTAAAGCTAGTGTAAGTGCTTAAAATTCAGATAACTGCTAAATATGTACAGTAAACCAGCATTATTAGGATAGTGACAGCATCATGTTTTGTCATAACTACAGCATTTACAGTGATCCTTCACTAAAGATTCACTTTTCAGAGGTTCACAACTACATGAAATCCCACTGTAAATGTAATATATTTAACCTATTTCATACAGAAACAACTTTTGGTTTCCACAGTCTTAGACACTGCCTAACATATTGTTTCTTTTATTCCTTTAAAAGATTAACTGTAATCTCCAGGCTATAAATCTCACTTTTATTTACAGCCCTGAAAGGAAGAGAAGGTTTATAAAACCTCAGTTGAAGACAGAGGCCTTAGCTGCTCCTTCGTCTTCGGTACCTGCACGTTCAACAACACTGAGACACATTGCTGCTCAGATGAACGGAAAAGCGACTGAAATGTCTTCTCTAGTGCGGACTAGAAGCAATAGGGGGGTGCTAGATACTCCTGTTACAGAACAACCATCCACTTCTTCAGGAGGAAAGCCTTTAACTACAAAGCCTTTAATAACAAAACCCAATTCTGCGGTGTCAGGGAAATCAGGTAGGTGTTGTAAAGGCATTCATAATCTTTGCAAGCTTTTAAATTAAATGGTTTCTTGCTTTTTAGATATCTATGTTCTTGATTAAGAATGGGCCCCGTTTACTCAAGTTAGTAGATCTCAGAGGGAGCCTGAATGGCTCACAGGATTGGTAAGAGAACATGGAAACTTTTCTCTCTAGGTTACTAGTTCAAATACAGTTTAGGTCAGTATTGACTGAAAGTTACTGCATTGTCTGTTTTGCTTGGGGTACTTAACCCAAGCCCACAGGCCAAATCCAGCCCCCGGTGCTGGGTCATGCAGCCCACAAGTATGTGGGCATGCCAGGCTAGTGTCAGACCTGATGTTGGCATATGGGGCTGGGTGGAGGTGATGGCAGGGTTCTTATCCTGATGTAGGGCTCCATGCTACTCATGCAGCCTACAGGTCCAGAACATTAAGCACTAGTGGTTTAGCCAGATTAGATAGATTTATACAAATGCTATAAACTAAAATCTGCCATTTTGCTTACAAAGGGTTTGTGTTTTTTTAGTACTGGAGAATTCTGCCAAACATTCCAGGAGTCAAAATGTTCTGTCAAACGCTAGCCAATCTGGTTACAGTCATAACACTAGAAATAACTCCTCAAGAGAAAATGTGGAGAAAGATAAACAAGTCAAGCGAAAAGTGAAATCATCCACTGTTAATCAGGAAGGTAAGACATTTTTAAAAGAGTATTTGGCTATATTCCAGAAAGTGGTGATTTTAATTCCATTGTAGCTAGTTGAGTATACCATAACTGTTTTTAATAATTGCTATTATTCCTTATAATAGGAAGGGTAGCTACATGACTTAATTATGCCATTAATATCCTTTGATTTCATAGTTAATTTTTCTCGATTCTAAATACACCTACCAACAACGTAGTATTTATGTTGCAATTACTCTGTCATAAAATCAAATTTCTGTTTATATAAAATTAATTCTAATTACAAGTATGGGTTAATATGACTACAGTGTAATTCTTGTATACTGAAAAACTGTAATCTTATGTTTTAAACTAAGCAATGTCAAATGTCTTAACATATAAACATCAAGAGGGGAGCAAGCCTGTAATAATCACTTCTCAAGGAAAACATTTCGGTTTTATCTTTGGCTTAATTTTATTTAAAGTAGTTTTATGTTCCCTAATGAAATGGTAATATGTGTAGTATATTTCATTCGTATTCGAGACTTCCCGAGACAGTGTTACGAACTGCAGACTACAGGAAATATTGTTGTTCCACACCATTTAATCTGTTGTGAGGGAATAGCTGGGTTTTTTCCTTCCTGAGTATTTCTTCAGTTAAGTAAAAATGGTGTACTGCCACCTTACTATCAAGCTTCTAGCATTAGAAAGGGTAGGAAACATGAAACAATTTTACCCCAACTCTTTTGGAAAAAGTGTTGGGTTTTTTTTCCACATTGGAGTGACTCATTTCAGAGGGTTTGCTGCTTGCTTAGTTTCATGGGGCCTGTTGGCACCTAATTACTTTTCTTCTTTTGAGTCTTCTTTGGTACCAAGACTTCTGTAATTGTTGTAATTCTTTGGATTTCAAAATCTGCCTTGCCTCTGGGGTATGTGTTCATCGGAGGGACAAAGAACCTTTTGTTTAATGGAACCTAGTGCCCCAGACAAATACATTATTTGTAAATCTTCCAAAAAGCTAGTCACAAAAAAGTAACAACCCTCAAAACTAAATTTATTGAAGAAATCCACAAGAAGTGCAGTAGTCTTTGAAGTTCCTCTTCCTCCTTTGCTCTGAATAGAGAAGCTGCCTTGGGACTTAAGGTACCTTCAGGCATCGAGATCAGATCCTGTTCTACTGATTAGATATGTAAGTGGATTTCAACAAGTAAATGTAATCCTGTTCTACCCTGCTTAGGTGCATAAAATGTTAATGTATCTGCTTTTGTAACTCCATCATGTTATCCTTAAAAGTAAGCCATGAAAAGCAGAAAGCAGGAGTACGCGTCAGGTTTTTGTATTAACTATTTTTTGGGGAACTTGAGCTGAGTGGAATAAGATCATGTTTTTTAAGCCTCTAATAAATGAGAATAGGATATTGTCCCTTGACAAAACACCCAAAAGATTGTCTTTGTGGTGTTGCCTTTGCCATCTAGCCATACCCTGAACCCTCACAGTATTCTCTTCCAGTCAGTAATCCCTGGGGTCCAAGATAGCAAGAAGAACAAATATTTTTGTCACTGTTTAGCATCAGCCAAGAGGTCTAGAGCTACTTATCTGACTTCTCCAAACTCCTCAACTAAACTTGAGTCTTCAATGTCTTCTTTCTTGTCTCTTGACTCTTATCAGTCTTTGGCAATTGACACTTCCACTGCAGTGTTTATCATTGATATGGTCAGTCTGGGAATCTTTGGTACCACCATTTAAAAAAAAAATAAAACCAGCAGCTTTAATATACATCTGCTTCATTGCTGACATGCTCAATAAAGTGTTCATTGCCAGCAGCTTTATTTATCTTGTCTGCTGACCTGGTGGTTACCCCACTTAAATTCTAGACAGTTTATTTATTATCATCAATGTCTGGATTTCAAGCCTTCCCAGAGGTATGGGGTCAGGAAGGAATTTTACCCCACGGTCAGATTGGTACAAACTGTGGGGGGATTTGCCTTCTTCTGTAACAGGGGGTGTGGCCCTCTACAAGGATCTCTTGAGCATATATTGACAACATTTCACAGAAGCAGGATGTTGGCTGTCATTTCTCTGCTTCCTGTGGGAGGTTAGGGTATTTGGTCTTTGTTGATGGTAGTCTCATGTAGAGTTTAGTTGTATAGGATGTTTTGGATAGGGAAGATCCTGCCTTGGACAGGAGGTTGGACTAGATGATCTCTGGAGGTACCTTCTTTATGATGTGATTCTGTGATTTTCTAACACTGGAATTCAGGATAATGATTATGAAACAAAATGAAGATGAATCCATGTGTGAGCTTAATCCCTTTTGCGGAGGAAAGAGATGCAAAATCAGTTTAACTACTAACCAGGCAGCATGACTGACATGCTTGCAGAAGTTGCTCTACAGCAGGGGTGGGCAAAATACGGCCCATAACGCCATTCTACCTGGCCCATGGGGCCCCTAAAATTTTTAGAAAATTAAAATTTATCTGTCCTTGGTTCCTGTCAAAAATGACAGGAGTAAGGGGAGCAGTAGGACCCAGGGGAAGCCCCAGTGGGCTCTTGCAACAGCCTGCCCCCCCACCCGCCAGAAGCTCCAGTAAGGGTTTCTGACCTGGGACCATGTAGCTCCTCTGGCATGGGAACCTCAGGTAAGTGAGGGGGGGAAGGGCAGAGAAGGACTGCGGGCAGGGAAGGAGCTGGTGCTGAACGCAGGAAAAATCAGCCCCTCCCTTGCCCTGTGGCCCAGGCTCTGGCTCCCTGCTGTAGCTGCTCACAGCCTGCCCAGGGCTGTCCTGAGCAGGCACAGGCAGCCTCACGTGGGCTGCGAGTGGCTGTAGCGCGAGGCGCCGAGCACGGGGCAGGTGAGGGGCCGCTTTTCCCCGTGCTCAGCACCAGCTCCTTTCCTGCCAGCGAGCAGGGGTCGGGGCTGCACGCTGCCCCCCACCTGTACCGCAGGGTTGGGGGGAGGCACCGGGAGTGAGTGGGTGCAGGAGTCAGTGGGAGTGTGGGTCCTGCACCGATATCCCAGGGTCAGCACCGGCGGGACCCAGAGCAGGGCAGCAGGAGTAGAGAGTCCTGGCCAGTGGGGGTTCTATGGAGCCGGGCCAGCTCCCTCCTCTCCCTGCTGGTGCAGCTCAGCCCGGCTCCACAGACCCCTGCCAGCCTGTGCCCTGCTCTGGGCCCCACCAGCATTGGTCCCAAGACGGTGACCAGGGGCCAGGATCAAGGGGTGGGGGCTACCCATGCAGCCCTGGACAGCTTGCCAGAACTGGGTAAGCAGTCCTCCGCCCAAAATAATTGCCCGCCTTTTCTCTACAGATGCTGAAATTTTTGCCATATAGTACTGGCTGTCATAAGACCTAACAAAGTGTTGTTTTATCCAGTTCTCTGCCCAGTAATTCTCATGGCAGATGAATCGAAGTAAGTCTAGAGTGTACATCTAGACAACCTCCAAATGAAAAATTTTGGTCAAGGAAGGGATGTTTAGATATATATACTATGTATGTCTTGGAGCAGTTGGTTCAGAGTGAAGCATTACTGCCTTTTTAGCAAGGCACTACCATACAGATACTGATAAACAGCACTATAGCGTTACATTACATTACATTACATTACATAAGCAAGCATGTGAGAGTCTTCCTTTTTTTTCCCCAGTTGGTCCCTTCTGACCCTAATTTTCTATGATACCTGACAAATGCATATGATTGATTATAGGGTCAGACGGGACCTCAAGGGGAGTAGCTTCTACTATACTGATTTACTGGACTCAATAGAAGCATTTTTTATTGTGGACTATTCAAAGGTATCTGTAACCATTTGGAGTTTTCTGTTCCTACTATTTTGGATTATCTTCTCCTTAAAATAATAGATTTCTTTAAAGCATGTTTGTTTACAGCAATACTCTTGTCTACATAAATCCCACAGCACATCCTTTTTTAAGTGCTATGGATTCCTGTTATAACCTGGAGTCTGTCTTTGGGAGAGATCTGAGTGGTGGTTGGCTCTCCTCTGCCTTTACAGTTCTTGCTGGGAACAGAAGTATGTCTAGGGTGCTTGTGTGGTCCCAAGAGATGCTGTTAGCCAGAGAAATCTATGGCCACGTGCTCAAGGTGCAGTACAGGAGGCTCCATGTGTATCAAAACAACCAGATGATCAGGGTTATAGAGCATTTTTATATAAGGAGAGATTAAGTAGGCTAAGACAACTGAGGTAGAGACAGGACAGAGGTCTTTAAAACTGAATAGTTTGGAAACAGTAAGTAGGGATTTTCTATTCTTTTCTATTCTTTGTGATTTGTCACAGTACTGAAACTTGGAGATGAAATTAAATTACTAGGTAACAGGTTTAAAATAAAGAAAGGGAAAGAAAAATTCTTCTTTTCACATAACATTGAATTAAAATACAGAATTCTTGCTACTGAATGTCATGAGGATTAATAATTTTGCCAGCTTCAAAAGGGTATGGGGCACGTTCATGGAAGACAGGTCCATCAGTAGGTGTTGAACATGAGAGAGAAGGGCGCCAGACTCAGAATTTACTAGGGCTTTGAATGTTGCATGCTGTAGTGGAAAGGAGGCAAATTTGGTCACTTTTCTATGATTTTAAGCAGGGTATAAGCAAATAGGGTTGGAAGGGACCTCAGGAGATCATCTAATCCAGGGGTGCTAAACCCCCAGGACATTGGCCAGATTTGGTCCATGGAGCCATGTCATTAATATTGCCATCACTCACCTGTTGCCAAATTTCCAAAGCCCATGTAGCTGGATGAGGCACATGGACTGGATTCAGCTTGTGCACAAAATGCCACTACTCATCCAGCAAAAATATTGGGCACCACTGATCTAATCCAACAACGTGCTCAAGGCAGGATCATCCCTGTCTAAACTTACCTTAGACAAGTGTTCATCTAGCCTGTTCTAAACAAAACTGCATGAAATCTCTCTTTCAACTAGTAGGCACAATGCCCAAACACCCTAATTTGCCAGAGGTAAAGCAGGGGAAAAGGGCCCTATTGACTTCCTGCCATTGCAAGGACAGGAAGTAGATAAAATACACTTGAGAAATCTAGTTAAGAGGACTGTTCCCCCCACTGCAGAGCAGCCCCCACAGTCCATGCCAATTGGACTGTGAAGTAAAATTTTTTGCTCATATCAAATGTGGTGATCAGTCAGACCCTGAGCAGAATAGCAAATTGTGTAGCAAGGAACCTCTGGGCTTAAATTCCAGCTGGAGCATTGGCAGACCCAGTCAAAATCCTCAGCCTTGGTTGTAGCCAACCACCTAACAGCCTAACACCTGTAACAACAGGAAGAGAAAAACTTCTTTCTGGCCCCATGTGATCACCAGCAAAGCCAAAAGCATTGGAAAACAGAATACCTCCATTCTACATAGCAACCTCTGGTGACCACAAACACAGCTCCACACATCGTACATACTGATTGCAGAGCCAGAACTCCCCATTCTATCATCCTCTTTCCTCCTTAAATTTGCCCCATCTCTTCAATTCTGTTTTATAAGTAAGCTGATTAAAGAGCTCTGTGTCATTCTTCTGATAAGCACAGTCCTCTTCCATTTCCACCTACCCTAGGCTGCAGAGCTCTTCTCATGGTCTCCCAAATGATGTGTGTGGGGTCTCCTGGGCTTTCAATTATTTCTCTTCACAGCCTGTTCCAGATATTGCTGCTGTTGAATCATCTCTGACCCATTCTTATCTAGCCTCACTGGCTGTGTCTGGAACCTGAGGCTGCCCCGTGATGGATCCTGTCATGCAGCTGAATGTTGGAATCTTGTTATGGGCCGGCCCTGATGTTCCACATTTAAGGCGCAAGCAAGCCACAAAGATGTTATAAATTATATGTGGAATATCTTTGTGCCTCATTTGCTATATTATCACATCATAAATTGGTTTTAATGTGGCAAGGTTATAGTATATGGCATGATTAGTATTAATCATGTCATATAACTAGGGATCTACTTGATTCATGCCCAAAGGAGTTTTCTTGGCTTCATTGCAGCAGAAAGCTGATTTCATGGGCATTTCCCAGCAGCCCCACCCCTCACCACTAATTGGCGGAGAGGTCCTGTGTGGGAAGGAGAGATGAGGGGGCAGCTGAGTGCTTGGCTGCCCTCCGTGTGGCTCTGTCCCTTGCTGCTGATTAGCAGCGGCGCTGGGGGGGGGGTGCTTGCGATCTTGGCTGCTGGCTGCCCTTTCTGCCATCCTGCCAGCTGGGGCTTTCCCCTGCCGGGCAGGCTGCAAAGCAGTGAAGACTACTGGCTTCCACTGAGGAGTCAGCATTTGTTTTTTATTTTTTTCTTTTCAAGTTAGTTTTGCAGATGGTGTGGATTTTGTGGTTTCCCCAAAATCACAAGTTAAATAGGGCCCTACCTATAAGTAACGTTTCATAGATTTCATAGACATTAGGGCTGGAAGGGACCTCGGAAGATCATCGAGTCCAGCCCCCTGGCCAAAGGGCATGAAGTCAGCTGGGGTCATAGGATCCCAGCAAGATAAGCATCCAGTTTGACAGGGTCCTTGCTTTCCCTCTAGAAGTTTGCTATATAACCCAGTTTGAGAAACACACCACTTAAGTACTGAATTCCACAGCATTTCTACCCCACCGCTGGGTTTTGGTTACATGCTTAGGCCTTAACATGTTATGGCACTTATTGTTTGTCCTCTTGAGAATTATTGTAAAAATGGGGAATAGAATAGTTTGATTAGGAACTATTGTGCAGATGAAGAATGTACATGCAAGCCTGTTACTTAAATATTGTTTATGTTGTCATTCCTTTACAGCAAACTGCAAAAATAATGCTTTGGCATCAGGAAGCATTCAGGTAAATGGACATGGAAGTCAGCCTTCAAAACCTCCAGTTAAGAGAGGTCCTGGACGGAAACCGAAAGCAGAGACTAATACCAGTAGCTGTGAAGTGGTGCACAAGAAAAGAGGCAGGAAACCAAAAAAGCTACAAATTGTTGACCAGAAGAATGCAGAGCAGAATACAATCCAGACCACAAGAGATGCAACAGAAGAAGCATCAGCTTCTAACGCATGCAATTCTCTTTCTGAAAATAATGTGAAGGAAGACTTGTTACAAAAAAAAGGCCGTGGGGGTAGAAAGCCAAAAAGAAAGATGAAGTTGCATCAACCAGACTCAGATCTTTTAGTTCCTGCAAATGTTAAGATGCAGACAAGAAGCAGGAGGAAAAAGACAGATGAACCTGTAGAGGAAGAACGGTCTGAGGAACTTAAAGATTCTGAACCCCACATGAGAACTAGAAACCAGGGTAGGAGGACAGCCTTTTACAATGAAGATGACTCTGAGGAAGAGCAACGACAGCTATTGTTTGAAGACACCTCTTTAACTTTTGGAACATCTAGCAGAGGCAGAGTCCGAAAGTTGACTGAAAAAGCAAAGGCCAACTTGATTGGTTGGTAATTTTTACCAGACCCTTTACTTTAGAGTGCTGTAAAGCAGGTACAGTTAAGGAACGAGCAGAACAAAGACTTCTGCTTCCCTGCTGCTATTATGGAATAGAAGAATATGTTCTGATTTGAAAAAATTAGCAAAAAAATAAACTGAAAGAACACTTCTTTGAAAGAAATATATATTTTAAACTTTTGCTATTTATTGCCCTCCAAATAATAGGTTATGCATTTCAACAGTTATTTTGTTCATGGCTAAAAATAATTGAAGATCTATAAATAAGCAATTTCTGACTGACTTACAGAAATGAGTTGCTGTAATCTTGAGCACTGCATAATATCTCTGTGTAATTTAAAAAAGTGATAAAACTTTTAATGCCACAAACTGATAACAGAATTCTATTTTTGACCAAGCAAGGTACATTTTTATTGATTGTAGAAGTCATGTCTCCCAGGAAGGCAGATGTTGCTAAAGAGTGGCAGTAAATTAAGATTTATATTTCAATTAAAGACAACTCCAAAAATACCAAACTTTGCTAATCTGAAAATGCTTAATTTCAGTAGTGATGGAACATTCAGCTGCAAAAGAAGCATAGCGTGGGCTGTTGTTTATCCAAGTTCTGCCAAACAGAGAGAAAATGTATCACAATATATATATATATCCACATTGGAAAAAGTTTGACTAATATGTCTAATTTTTCAGACCTTGATTCTTGTATCAATCACTAAATCTCTGTTTATTGTGCCAAAGACTGAAAATCAGTGCAGTGGAAAGCCTTTTCTCTCTCTTTCTCTGTCTCCCCCCCCCCCCCTTTTTTTTTTTTTTTTTGTGTCAGTACCGCATACAGTTTTCAGTTATAAGGACTGTGTATTGTTCTAAATAGCAAGTTGTTATAAATTGTTCTGAGATGTATTCTTTTTTGGTACTTATACTAGTAAACAATAATGCACTGGTGGGGTTCTTTGACAGAGATGTTTTAGACAAAATTTATAATTGGTTAAAGGATTCCAAGAAATTACAGGAAAACTATGGGATTATGATGTTTACTTTCTGATCCAGATTATTTCTACAACTTTAGACATGTTTAATAGGCTAAAAATGACGCAAAGAAGTGTGTGCATGTGTTTGTGTATGGATATATACACAAGCACGTGCATAGACGATATTACCCAGGAATAAATTCTTTTTTTCAGGATTTTTTAGATAGCACGAGAATTAAAAAAAAAAAAATTTTAAACTCATACTTTATAGTTTAATTTTAAGGAAAAAGATTGGTTATTTTCAATTATTAAAGGTTAAAAAGGCCAAATCACTTTTTATGCAATCATGTTTTATACAGTGGTCTCATTGCACATTGTGTTTTTTCTGCACTTTTTACGGTATACTTATCACGCTGACATAAGTCAATATACACCCTAAAGAAAAATTCCATTTAATGATTGTGCCTTGTATTCTATTATTTCTTGCATCCTTAGTAAAATTAAGTTGTCTATTGTAAATGATAACTATATGACTTAGGGGAATGTATTACTATATGTACTGCTTTGGAAAAGAAAAGCAGTTATTTATTTGTTTATGGTACATTTAGTTATTTTATACCTTATAAACAAACTTTAATACCATTTTCTATTGCTTAAAAAGTATTGTCCAGTTTTAAAAAAAAGTATAAAGTTAGTAATATTTTCTGAGATCTGGTATGGTACAAAAATGCAACCAAAACTTTCAGATGACACATTATTTTGGAATTTTGGGGTAGTGTGAAAGAATTACGTTGTCTGGATTTGGAGAAGAATAAAAGTTTAAAAAAAAAAAAAAGCATAAAATTAGAACCCAGTCCTGAAAAACCTTACTTTTACAAGAATTCTTCATTTTTAAGCCAAGTCTAATAATTTTTAATGCAACTGCCGAAGGAAGGGTTTGCAGAATTAGAACTTTATATTTGCACAGATTACCTTTACTTATTCTGGGCCAAATCCTGTGCTCTTTATTTTGTGTTACAACAAAGTCATCTTAAGAAATGTCTAAGCAAGCAGATTTATATTTGGCACCAAGAAGAGAACGTGCTTATCATCTATTTACCTATAATGAATAAAAAAATTGATAACCTATATATTTGGCATTCTTAGAATAGGTTTATATACTTATCTGCATTACACATCTTTATATGAAATTAAGCAAACTATTTTCCAGATTCTGACTCTTTGACTTTGATTCTGAAGTTAGGGAACAGGGTTTTAGTTTGATATTCATTCATATGTATATTTATTTTTTTCTAACAGATTTTTTTTTCTTTTCAGTTAAAATACAGTAGTTAAATATATGATATGGGGGAAAAACTATGGTTGTATAGTTAAAAATGCAGTTTTTACAGTTTGTAACATTCTTTTTAGTTTTTTAAATGTAACAGTTAATATTAAGCAGCTCACTGCTGATGAAGGCAATCAGTTTCAACTGTGTAATTTCCTGATGTTATCTGCATTGTAATATAAAAATTAGAGTATATCTAAAATTCAGCTTCTGTATTTACTCCATTTGTAATAATAATCTAAGGGGCATGTTTATGTAGATATTTATACACAGAAAATACCTGTATGTAAATTTTGGAGAATGGAATAACAAGTATTCCTATGACATTGTGGGGAAACTATACATCTTAAAAAGGGTAAGAATAGAAGGCCTTATCTGCAGAACATAGATATTGTTCCCCTTCCACAAATACTTGTGACCTTAGCCTATATTTTTTTTAAAGTTCACCTCTAGAAACATTGACTTTCTTCTTTTAAAATAAAATTAGTGCTTTGGATCGGTTTTTTATAAGAGCAACACTAAAATGTATTAGAAGTAATAACAGATTTATTTAAAAATATATTTTTATAATTTAGTTTCTCTAGGTTGCAAAAGTTTTATTTATGGAACATCAGCATCTTACTGTTTGTCCTTTTAGTTTGGAAGAATGTATTATTTGAAATATTTGCATAATACTGTATCAACACAGAAAAAGAGCTTTTGATAACTAAGTCTTAAGATTTTAAATTTGAGCAATAAATTGTAGTTCAACCTTTTGAAAGAATTTAAAATATGTAGTTACATGCATGTTATGAATAATGCCATCTCAAGTACATAACATATAATCCACAAATGGGATATTGAAATTACAGCTGGTGTTTGTTTCACATGCATTGTAAATATTATTACATAGATGTTTTATTCATATACAATCAAACTATAATCTTACAAACCTGTCAGCAATGAACACTGCTTCATCCATTCATTCAAATACATTGATATTTGACTTTTGATATGGGAATATTCAACTGTTTTCTGTGCTGGTGGCCATTAAAGTCAATATTTATTCCACTGTGGGTAGGTATCTAATATCAGTGCATTCTCTACAGAGGAGAAAACTGCCGTTTCCCAGATAACATTATATTCTAAATGTTTACTTTAATGGCAATCATTGTACCTATGCCAACATACTGAGCAAATGTGTACCCAGTCTCCTTTCCATTGCTACTTTGCTATCCAGGAATTGAACTTGAGGAACTTCACCACAATATTGTTCAGTATTGTGTCAATATTGACCTAAGGTTTTTTGTGCTTTAACCAGTGACCATAACTTGACAGAAAATGTCTTCCTCTTGTGATTAGACTGCTTTGATATATATTTGCATACATATATTTGTACAGATCGTTCAGTTTGTACATGTGTGATCAGTTTGTTGTTAGAGTTGTAAGATTGAGTTGGTTGAATTTAGTATTACAATTAATTAATAGAAGTAAAAACATTCATTTGGTAAAGAATCCTCATGCAGCATGTAGGATGTATTAGATCTATACAAATAAAAAAAATAGTGTAGCAGACAGCTTATGCACTGTATTGCTGTACATGTATGTTTCTAGTACCAACTCTCACTTCCTGTTTCTGAGGCTTTTGCCATCTATAAAACTACTATGTAAGCTAAAACAGTACATTCATTTAGTAGGCTTGCTGCAGTTATATTTAAATCTCTTGCTCACATTTACTTTAAGCATTGATACAGGATACAGTAAACACTTTAGTACTTGCTTAAAGCTAAGCACGTGTTATACTGTTTGCTGAATCACACTTAATGGGATAGAATCCTTAGGATTCGTATATGGTAGATAGTCTTAGCCCATCCTTATTAAATCTGTGAGCTTATTTTAAGCATGAATGAAGCTAATATAGTTCAACATATTACTGGTCAAACAATATAGGACCATATCCTAGTCAGACCATGTTTAAAACTGTTTTAGCTGAGAGTACAAAAGAGGTTTAAGTACAATACTCTAACACTGGTGAAAGCCCAGAAAGAGGCCCTCCAACCTCATCTGGAAAAAACAAAAGCTCATTTTCTCTGTTACTTTTTACTACCTAATAAGGCAAAAACAATGTGTAAAATTATTTTATAAAATATTTTTGTCTACTTTCCCTAAAGTTCTTCTAAATAAACAGTTTCAAAGGGGACCTAAATATCAACAGATAAAAGGGCTGTTAGTTTTCTGCTGTAAATTGTTGTATATAAATGTGTTTTGTTTCTATGCAGAAGAAATAGCATGTTAAATTTCATATACTTTGGCCAAGTCTGAAATTATTTCTAACATGACAAGCCTGGTATTGACACTTTATATAATTTCAGATCTTTTAAAATAAGGAACACAGATCTGGTGACACTTTCTGTGTTTGGGGAGGAAAATCAGGTAGCTTTTAAACTGAAGTTAACCTCTAGGTTCTTGTGTTTATGGTAATTGTAGTGTAGGGGCCATTTTTGCTGTTTAATCTTGCACTGTATTTAAGGGAAAAACACTCCAGTTCAGGAAGGTTAGATTTTCTTAAAAAGGATACCAGACAAGAAGAATAAGCTTTTGTTTTGAAGGCTACACAGCATCAAGGCACCCCAGAGAGAATGTATTTTGCAATAAAATCAAGGTAAATAAACACAACTTCCAGGAGCTAGCTTTGATTGATTGTTTGGAAGAAATTATCCTCTGTGGGCCTTGAGGGTAGTAATGGCAAGAGTAGATCTTTGGAACTCCTTTTAATGCAGATAAATACATCAGGAAATTCACTTAATATGGTGTAAACAGTACAGTGTAGGGTAGTATTATACTATGAATTTCTGTCCTTAAGGCAAAGAATTAGCTCATACAAATTGGGAGTAGAAGAGAATGTTAAATTTCAGCACCTACTTTGTACACATGCATATAAGGCATACACACATAATTTTGAACTTACAATTGTGCATGTTGATTTACAGAAATAATGATGAGACAGATTGCAAAGTTACATTTTTGGACCATATTAGAACTGCAAAACAATGACAGGCAATTTGTTAAAGATCTTGAGTGAATTATTTAAATCCTGTCATGTAATGTTTAGACATGTAGAATGTAGCTGAACTTTAAGGAAGTGATCTAGAAGGGTTAATTTTTGAAACTGACACATTTTCAGATTAAAATAATGCTTATTTTGTACAGAATGATGTAAAACACAAAAATCTGTTGTATGTAATGAGAAACAAACCGTTTGAAAACTATAATTCTTTAGCTTTATCAAGGCTTTTTTTTCTTCCAGAAATCTGGATTATCATGTTATAACCTGCGGTATCTCACCAGGATAACAGTGCCCTTTCTTTTTGTACATATTGATTGGGAATTTCTTTACTGTTACGTGGACACTTTCTATGTTAGTTTTGATGCATAATACTTTGAATCCTTTTATACAAACTAGAATGTATGTGTAAGAATTACTGTCACTGCAATGTAGTAACTACAAACTTATTTTTAAATAAATAGAAAACATGTTTTTCTAATCTCCCTACAGTGTGATTTATTTTAATTTTTTTGATTCTACCTAATGGTCTGTTGACACCTGTATCAATGGGGAAATTGCATTGAGTCCGTTAGTTTCAGGAAAGTCTTAAATCAACTTTATTTGACTTTGTGGATGTTTTTTCCAAGAGGATGCTATTAAAAGTGCTATTATCAGTTGATCATGCAGCATTTTATCTCTGAAGTGATTAAATTATACCATCTTTCATGACGAGTTTGGCATTCAATCTTGTGAATCCAGCTGACTGCAAAGACACTGATGTTTGCTGATACTGTGGTCATCCTGCTGCCAGCTTCATTAGCTCACTCCTATGCAGACTCTGAGAAGTTCTATAGTTTAAAGGTTCTGGGAAAGTACTCCCAGGGTCACATTTGTATTCCAAAGAGTAGTCATACTAGTCTAATCTGTTTTTAGCAGGAATATGTCCAAGATCCTTGGAAACCTCAGCTTCTCAAGAATTACAGTTTTTGGAAAAGTTCCTGATGACTAAAAAGATGCATCAAGATAGATGCCTCCACACCCCTATGTATAGAGAGAAGTAGCTTTTGTGATTTTGTTAGGTGCAAAAAGAGGTTACAAAAAAAGACTTAATAGAGACAACAGTTTGAAAATCTAATTCTTTTATTCCTTGAATTGCATTACCTGCATATTTCTCTTTTATGGTTGTAAAAAATGTTTGTTTATATTTCAAATACAGTACCCTGTGGATTATTTTTTTTCCCTCCTGCTCACTGCTTTTCTTTCCCTTTGTTTCACCCTTTATAGGAAGCTATATCCTTTTTTCCCTCTACATTTACTCACCTGATATAGCAGATAAACCACTGAAATACCGACCCTTATAGCCACAATAAAAGCAAATGTCATTGTTAAACTATGTTGTGAAGGTGAAATTTTCTTCCTTGATTTACACTGATAATTTTGTCATACTAAAACATTTCTAAGATGTTACTGCATCCTGTGGCTGCAGAGATTCATGACAAGTTCCATTGCAAGAGAATGTCTTTTTTTTTTTTTAAATGCTTATTTCAGTCAGTATGCTATACTTGGGGGAGCAAGGTGGGAAGGAGATTGTATTGCAGTGTATGCATGAGTTTTAATGGATATGAAATCCCTGCTGATGTTATCAAGGAGAAGATTTCCCCAAAATTGATGTTTGTACTCAAAGTTTGTTAAAGAAACTTCCATATGTTTGTGGGGGTAGGGAGGAAGGGGAGGCAGGACAGAGACAAGGAGGATGGAAACTAAGAATTGTTTCCACAATCTAGCAGATAGTAATTAAAGGGTTTGTGTACTTACAACACTATTTTCTTTAAATTCCTAAGAATTTTTAGGAACAGTGAAGAAAAAACATTAAAAAAAGCAGACATATGTAAATATATCTGGATATCCACTGTGGTCACTTGGAACTGCAAACACAGTAAGTATTTCAGAAATTTGGCCCCCTCTTGCCTAGTAAAAGTATTGCCTTTCAAAATTTTCTGGTACTTGGTTCTACATGGTAAATACGTTTGGAGGGGTTTTTCCTCCTCTGGGGTAACTCTTCTCAGTTTTGGGTTTGTTTTTTTTAATTACCTCATTGAAATATTTTTCATCTTTTAAAATGTAATAGGAACGTTTTAGGCTTACTATTTTAGCATGTTTTAAGCCACTTCACATTGGCTTTTTCTACTACATAATCATTTAAATTTTAGATAATAAAATATATAATCTAGTTCCACAATTGTATCATGTATTGTAAATTTATTGCATTCGTAATCCATCCCTTAGTTTGCCAAGTTCATGATGCTTAAAGTATACTTATAATTTAATTCCCCAGTATATTTGGGTTTGGTGACAATTTTGTTCTTTGGTTATTAAAAAATAAACCAAACTTCCATAGTGTCTAACAAGTAGTAAATTTATTTATATTTACATGCATATCTTGCCCTATCCGAAAGACTCAGCAGCTTTTTGTGGCAGGGAAATATTAGTGACTTCTTCATTAGAAGCCAGTTTGTGGCATCCTAATTTATTATAGTGGTAGGGGACTGAGTGGAAGATGGGTGTATGCTTGCTTTTGGGGTATCTGCTTTGGACCTTTTCCTCTAACTGACTATACTTTTGGGCCGGGTCTAAGGAAAAGAAAATAAATTTGATCTGGTATTATTGGGCATTGTGAAATGTGGTCTCTGATTGCAAAAACACGTAGGCAGGAACTGGAGAGGGAGTTTACGTACCTCAAATCATAAAGCTTCTTAAGAGAGATGTAAGGTAAGTGTCTGGGCTGGTATCCTTGCTGTTGGTGGTCTCCAAGTTAAATGTTTAAAATTTTTAATATACATTTGTATCCCAAAATCTATTTGTGCTGCTTCAGAGGAAAAAAAACATTTTGCACAACTAATCCTGTAATCACAGCTAAAATATACAGGAAAGAACGCCATTTGCTGTTTCCAGGGAAATGGGTTAAATTGACAAAAGGGCCATACCTTTAAAAATCAGTTTGTCTGAAGCATGAGTGAAAATAAAGCAAGTGTCCAGTGGAACCTTTTTGTTCAGAAAACTAAAAGTGTGACAGATAATTAGTATGTGCTATTGTGTTTGCCTTGCATTTTGATAATATGCTAAATTAATTCTACTGCTAAACTTGAAGACTTTATAAAGTGCTTGTTTATTTTTGCGGTGTTTTACAAATTTATGTATGGCTGGATAGATCAGGAAGCCAGGAATCCAAGGTTCTGTGCTTGACTTTTCACTGACTTATTTTTATCCATCTGTCAAACAGACTTAACGTTGCTCACTTCAGAGTGTAAGGTTGTGCTGTGAATTTATAGTCTGTAATATTTTGAAATTTTTAGATAACACCAGAAAGAAAGCAAGGATGCAGGATTTTAGACTGCACCTACTTAATGTAGTCACAACCAGACAAGCTGCCTTCAGTTCTCTTCCTCAGTCGGAAGCAAGGAGGAAGAATGGAAACCAACGTTGTTTTGTCACCTTGGTGCCACCATAAATACTTTTATGGCGGCACAAAGCGACAGCAAATGGACATCCATATCTTTTGCTGCATTATAATGGGTTACAACCTCTATGACTTGGCAGCTTGAACAATTTGCTCCCCTCAGCTTTTCTGTCTTATCTCCTAGCTGCTTCTGCCTACCCCTTCAAGTAATGTAATTCTTGCTTCTCAGAGGTCTAATGCTGGGAAAGTCCTAGTTTTCAGTTTAGCTTTCTACAAGGAGATGGTTCAGTCTTCACACTAGCCAGTCCAGTTTTTTTAGCAGCCAACATTTCCAGACTCAAGATGTGTCAAGAATTGAGACTTCCCCCAGCTTGCAGGGTTGGTTTCTTCTGCACCTGCAGCAGTGTTCTCTTTTCTAATTGGTCTCATTTGACTGGCTCCCAAAATATTTGTCAGTAGTGAAAGGACTTTTAAATGCTCATTTGTTATTATCATAGTTATTGATGCAGGAATAAGAAACAAATCAAAAGGAAATGTTCCATTTTATTAGACTAAAGGCAATAACCTGAGATTTTTGTTGTTCAAAGAAGTTGTCTTAACATTAAAAAGTTCCTAGCGATTAAGATCTGACTGACTTCCAGTGGGGCTGGTGCAGGCACCTACCCTGGAGATTTTCAAAAGGAGACTGGATGCACACCTTGCTGGGTTATTTGACCCCAGCAGTCTTTCCTGCCCAGAACAGGGAGGGGCTGAGCCTGATCATCTCACGAGGTCCCTTCCAGCCCTAAACTTCTGAATCTGTGACTATTTCTCAGTACCTTCAAACCTCACCAGGCAATGGAAAATGAGGTACAGGAACAGATGTTTACTATCTCTTCTCCAACCATCCTAACAGTGTTGTGAGGAACAACAGTATCCTAGTCCATCAGGAAGAAAGAACAAAATAGAAGGGGTGAATTGTTGCCACGTAAAAAGGCAGAAGCACATGCTTCATTGTATATAACAAAACACAGTATACATAAAAGCTTCACATTTTCTCTGTCAAAAAGAATGGAGGGGTAGGCAAAGCATGTTGGTTACTGTAGCTCTGAGGTCTGACCACAATCCTTTCTGAACATTGAGAGGAATATTGAACACTGAACCCTCCAAAATGTAAAGGATGATTTAAAAATATAATTCTAGCCATTTAAAGAGATGCTGTATTAATTTTAATATCTCAATTCTTAAAATTTCTTTTTCACTTTTAAGATAAGGTATGTATAGTCAAATAAACTCAACCCTCTGTGACACCTGTAGCCAACTCATCTCTCTTCTGTTGGTCTTTCCCTTTTGTTATCCCTTCATTTGGATTATAGAAGCAAAGGCTTACCTCATTTTGTATCCAGAATACATCACACACTTGGGGGAGTTGCTATCAATCCCCTTTATAAAGAAATGTAGATGGGAGTCTAAATCCTTAGTTGTTTCTATACAAGGCTCCGGAAGGGCAAAAATGCTACGTGGGAAGATCAAGATTGCTGACTAGTCAACTTTCTAGTTCAGTAAACCATCTGTGATAGTAGCCAAAAACAGATGTTTTAGAAGAGACAAAGAACTTTAGAGAATTCCATGCATCTGAAGTACTCTTGCCTACAAAAGTTTGTCTCTGTCTAAACCAGTACATTATTAAGATGTCACTGGCCAGCCTTATATCACCATTACTGTGTTTTATATCAGTAGGTAGGATGGTAATCTACCTTCCCCTTCTACAGTTCATCATCTGCATAAACATACCTGCAGTACACTTGGGCTGACAACCTCATGAAGTCATAACTCTACAGTATGAGTGGGAAATCAAGGACTCTTGTCCTACAAGCCTATCTTTTCAGAGAGGAATTGCGCAAGGACAGACTTCTTTGTGAGCAAGGTCGATGAAGCCCCTGGCAGGTGTTTAATTCATGATATAATGAGTATGTTAAGCATTGCCACCACACAGGGTGTGCACAGGTATGCTTAGGCCTCACAGGCTGTGCTTGGGCAACAGGCAAGGGAGGGGGCCCCCC